GTCAAGAACATGCCAAGCAGGCCAGCCATGGTGATGGTGCCAAATCTGGGTAGGAAACCCGGTGGAGGATCTTTCAAGTAATAGTACACATCTGGGAAACACAGGAAGATAGTAAACATGATGACAAACATTCCTCCAGTTTTCTCAAGTCTGAATCCAACTCTGAGCCTCTGCTCATGTTGTCATAATACACTACACAAGCAGTAGTAATGATGAGAGTGGTAACGTAACTAGTAATAATAATGATAACTAATACCATGTGCAGCTTTTCTTACATATTTTCTGAGTTTGGGGACATAACATGCACACAGATACAAAGATGCCGCAGAAAAACATTCACAATCACAGTATGTTAAATTATGTGTGATTTTATGATGTAACCTAACATACTGATACTCATATACTGGTGTTTGAGGAGGTTGTGAATAGTGTAGTGCTTGTATGACAAGTCATAGTGATTTGGTAGTCATGCTTCTGCTCCTCAGAGTGATCTCATCTAATTAGTGGCACCAGCTGATTTATTTATTACACCTGGTAGGAATCCGTTTGTGTCTGTATCTGTTCTGTGAAGCATTCGTGTCAGTAGCACTGATGATAGTCGAGGATTGAAACATCTGCTGCTGTTTTTACTCACTCTTTATATATATATATATATTTTGCACTCTGAGCACCTGTTTGTGCACAGATGTCTTAAATAAATAGGCCATTTTTGAATTGATCTCAGCCTGTTGACCTTTCTGTGGCTTTCAAACCCAGTTACATTGGTGTGTGGGTACCTCCTCTGCTGCCCTTACTTATGTCATTTGTACCGACGCACCCATAACAAGACTTTTTTGTTACCCCAAGTACCCTGAGACCTAACATACTTATTAAATCATTTAATAAAGCCATTAATAGATGACTAAGATGCACTATGTGAGATTTGTTTTTGGGGTGTCAGCACAAACACCAAGAGTTACACTTTGAGTTTCATGGAGGAAGAATATTACTTATATACAGACTGACACCTTCAGGTACCTACTGGTGACTCACCCTCTCCTGCATGATATAGATTAACACTTGTTGTCTTCACAGAGACACAGGCACCCTGCAGGAAACAGAGGACAAATGAACCACTTCAACAGGCCATCAAGAACACAACTACATCTGAGTCAGTGTGAAGTGTGTTTTTTTCCCCATCTCCCGCACTATCAAACTGCCAAATCTCCTCGCAGCAAACCTTGCAGCTGCTGAGTTAACTGCACAAACACTATTTCCTGTCTGACTCCTGAACTTTTGCTGTTTGCAGAATCGTACCTGCACAGAGCACTCGCAGCACGTGGGATTGTGCTCTGTAACCGCAAACAAGGGGAACAAAAATCAGGGTTGGAAAACTAACACTGCAGGTGCAAGATAAGACCTCTTCGACGTGTCTTAGCTGTTGTTCCACTCACATCACACTTATTTACATCTGTCAAAGGGCTGTACTTTTTGGGTTTAAAGTGTCAGACAGGATGTGAAAGTATGAGTTAATTCTGCAGCAGATGGTGTCTTTGAACTGTAACATGTTCTCATGTACCGCTGTAGATCCACACTGTAAAATACAAATACCTTAATAGCCAGGACAAATGGCAGTATGCCCTCTCTCGCTGTCGTTAACCCACTCTGAATAACACCGGGACTCTCTGGCACAAACTGGGCCTGAGCAGACTGTGGCAGCGGGGTGTAGATGTTCAGCTAGGGACAGAGGCAAAGTCAGCATGTTCTGTAATTGTGGCATTCAACACTTAAGTTATCTCACATCAGATGTGCTGACATGTGGGGGCAAACATACCTTTTCTCGAGTAACCAGTCCATCAGCTGGGACTTCACTTACTCTATACACCCGGATGGAGGCTATGCCGATCACCGTCGGGACGGCCACCATCACCACCTAGAACACAATAACAGTACATAAACTTAAGTGTATGTCAGCTCGTGGCAACAACACAGACAGCAGACAGGAACCACTTACTGAAACACGGATGACTCATGCGGTCCAATGGTGGAAATACAGACATTAAACATATTTACATATTTAAAAATAGCACCTAAAGTGTAAAAACACTCCATTAAAAGAAAAAGTCCCACAGTCACAATTTAACTTACACAAAAGTGTATAAGCATGACAATTATAGATTATCAAAGCATTTAAAATAATCATTATGTAGCACTGAAGCTTTCCCAGTTTTTATAGACTATTATTATTGAAGCATTAACACCTAACCTGCATTTTACAGTTGTACTGTGCTCAGTTGGAGCTCGTTTAAAAGACTGTGGCTAATTTTAACTACAATACGTATCATATTTCTGAATAGTACTCAAATGCGGCGCTTAAATTAATATATTTAACTACTTTTTACCACTGACGCAGACATGTTTTGCAGTAGTGGCCACTGTAACCCGAACAACAGCCACTAATATGTATATGTGAGTTTACAATACATGTGAATTAGTTTAAAGTTACACCCAGGCTCATATAGCTATTGTGGATCCAACTAAGCTAACTAATGCTATCTGTTTACTGTGTTAAAATGGTCTAACGTCATATTGGCAAACGCAGCCAGGATTGACAATTATCAGCGGTTACACATGTTTCCGGAGGTCATTAATTGTGCGATTAAGTTACCACTCAAACTGCTGTCAGCTAATGTAGTTAGACGCTGTGTAGTTAGCATCGACTCATTCAGCGAGGCTAGTACAGCACACAGAGTTAGCAAAGCTTTGTTCATGCAGCGTAGCGTTAAATGACTGTAAAGTGACAGTCGGTTCAAGTTTACATTAACGACTCAGGGGCAGTTTTGTGTTAACACGACCCTCGCTCATTCATTAAAAATATACTTTGACGAAGAGGAAATGTCAAGCATTCACCTTGGCCGCCATGACAGCGGTCCTCCTTCTTCTACAGGCTCTGAGGCGCCGCTCTGAGACACGGTCACCTACTGCCACCTAATGGACTGCAGAGGCAACTGCAAAAGCCCGGCGCCAGGCCAGGGTGATCTCATCCAGAGTGGGGACAGTGTGTCCACACAGTGTTCTCAAGCTCCCAGGACTGGTTATGAATGTTAGCTTGTAAATTTGCATGCATGAAATCAAAATGATAAAATAAATGAATAAAAACAAATAAACATAAAATTAAAAAAAAATCGTTTTTTGGTCAATGATATGGTGCTATATTTTGTGTCCATGTGGTTTAGTTCAATATAAAATGTTCAAAAGTTGACAATAAACTTACAGATTACAAGCATGTATTCTTATTTTGAGGATGTCTGGTTTTAATCAGTTATGTGAGAATACCAGGGGGATGATGGTAAAAATGTCAATGTGGTTAAATCGTAAAAAGGTTGTACCAGTTAATTCAACTTGGAATTTCTCAATAAAACACTAAATTAACTTGTTTAACATAATCTCTCCCAAGAATCATTTACTCGTGAATTAACGTAATGGAACAGCATTGTTCTAAATATTTTCATTAATGAAGTGTCAAGGTGATGTAACTACTATTCCAGGAGCCTTTTTGTTACTCATGTGCAGGAGGACTACGTGCCAAGGAAACCATAAAAGGTATATTTTACTAGATATATAGTGAAGTACTTTACTTTTATAGCTTCCTTGCAATGTGATAGGAAATTATACCACAGAGAAGGACTTAGAGTTAGAGGCTCCCTTTGTAAACATTTTTAAAGAAATGTAACGTTATTAATCTGTCACTGTGGCTCCATGTGTAAAGAAATTGTGCATGATATGCAGTGGTTTATTAGTAGCAAGGAAAGGCAGGTAACTGTCCAGGTGCCCCAGACCTCAGGGGGCTCCAAAATCTCCTAATTCAAGTCTGAATTTTTTCTTTGTTTGTTTTTTTAATCACTAGCTAATTTGGGGGGGGTTTAGCACAACTTAGGTGAATTATTAACAAGGTAAATCTGGCATTATCACTAAATTTTATGGCAATGTCTTGTAAAGGGACTCTGTGCCAAAATCTCCCTTTAAGAGCTTTATTTTATAATATTTCACTTCATGTTGTGTTCACATGTTGTATGCTCCTAAATGAAGTTTATTTAAAATCACCACAAACTAACACACATTAATTATTGTCCCAGCATAGTGGAGTTCACTGGTTGTGTTGGGAACTTTGGGGTGATAGGGTTCACACACAGCAGCACACAGGGGGCAAATAAAGTAGGGCCCAACAGTTAAGTTTTGCCCTGTGGACCCCGAACAGGTCTAGAATAAGATGGATGTCATGGGTGGATACATGGTAGTTACAAAATACTAAAACTAGGTGTAAAACATTTTAGGTAACTGAAATAGAAAAAAATAAATAAACTAGACTTCAGAAAAAAAACTGAAAAGATGTTGTGTTCTTATAAAACTATCTAAAATAAAATAAAAATATACAGGGAATGTCTTTAGTTTTTGTCAATTTGTCAACACAACAAGCTTGAGGAGCCACTGGTGTATATGTTTATTGAGACTATAGGATATCTACATCACTGTAGTCAAGTGCTTTGACAAAGTGTGTGTTTGTATTATAATACCTATTCTGAAATTCTTAAATCTTGCCCCTAACAAATACTTAAAATGGAAACTAATAAAAACTAAACTAAAACTAAATATTCTCTAATTAATAAAAGCTAAACTGAAAGGAGCAAACCCACTCTGGAAACTAACTGAAACTAAACTGAATTGAAAACTAATTTTCAAAATAACAATGAAAACTAATGAAAAATAAAAAAAACTGTAATAACTGTGGGTAGTTAGTTACTTTCAGGTAGATTATGTGGAGGTTCACTTTGCTAAAAGGCATTTTAGATCTACACTTTAACTGTTGCAGGAATCAGACACATCATGTGGCCTCCTGGTTTACTGGATAACGTCAGCCCTTAATTTGAAATCTGCTCATGTTCCTCCTGGTAACATAAAAAAACACACTTTAATGCTGTTTCAATAAATCTAAGAAATGGTACACATGAACAGATCATAGCTCATAGTGCAGAGGATTCAGTTTATTGAAGTCAAAGTTTAACAACTTAAGTTTACAATCTGTATTTTTTGTAATATATATTCATATATATGAAACCAAAAAAGGCTACTTTAGGAAGAATAAATGTCATTTTCTTTCTTTTTTAATATCATCTTTAGTCAGTTTAATGTACAGAATAACAGTAAGCTAATATTATCCTTGAAAAAGAGCAATATGTTCCTTTTTTAATGTCGCAGTGCAACTTACATCTTACACACCTGTGCAATGTACCATGAGGTGTACACCCCTGAAAGAACACACAGTGGAATCTCCCTTTTCGGCCTGTTTCTGCAGGTCTACACACACAAAGTTCTGGGAGGGATAAACACAGTCTGTGCCTACAAATCAAAACTCGCACCTCGTAATCTACAGTTTGTCACCTGCTCAGCGGAGCAGGGGTTGGAAAAAAAAGGACCACTACAGATGAGAAACGGAGAGAGATCTGCAGACTAAAACTGTCCTGTAACTCATCTACAGCTGTGTGTGTGTGTAGGATCGCCAGTATAGTCAGTCCATCGTTGCCAAAGAGAGGGTTGGGAGGCACAGGGAAAGTGCTTGCATCATTTAGTTTCTTTGTGGTACTCTCAAATTAACCATTCAAAAAACATGAGCTATATCTCTGGGGTGTGTTTGATATTTCACAACAGTGTGACATGATGAGAAACCTGAACCTACACTCAAAGAACTACAGTAAAATATGAAGGATAAGTACAGATAGTGCTGGATGCAGCGCGTGCTACGCATGTCTCTCAGAGTCTTAGACACTGGGGGGCACCGTTGAGTCCTTGGCCTGATATTGCAGATGAAATGATTCATCCGGGTTTCACAGACATTACAGACCATTTAAAGTAGAGGTCTTTGACCGCCCAGTATCAACCATATGCTTAGAGGGAATGTCAAAATAGCTTTTAGAAGTAACCATACTGTAATCTCTCTCAGGTAAGATTCCTGAAGCCTTTGGACATGTGTCAGTCTCTCTATGTAAACCAAAACATCAAATTGAAACCTCCTTATAGGATGCTAACGGAGGATCTGCATTAGATTAAGTAACTGAGCAGCAGAAATGCCTTCCTCAGTCATTGTACAGTGTGTGTCTTTAAACACTATCTAATGAAAAACAAAATCTATGAGCATACAAATAAAAGGTCATTCTTCAACAGTACTTTTGCATGTAACATGCGCTACAAGTCTAATTATCTTGCAATCATGAGAGGAAGAATAAATTAAAAAAAAACAGAAAGAAAGAGAACACAAATGATCCACAATATTTTACCCTGTCCAATCAAATCAGTCCCAGGACTTTTCTCATGCAACACATCACCAGGAGAAGGGTCAGCCGTGATGTAAACCAGTAAATCAACTGTTGGTGATGGTGGTTGTTGTTGTCGTTGTTGTTGTCTGCCTCCTAGTTGTTCAACTGCTAAACACCCTGCATCTACAGAGTGAAGAGGGGGACACTGCAAAACCTTGGCATAGAATACATCATACTTTACATTATATCTATGACACAAAACGTAAATAGATTTATATATTCTTCTATGTTTAAATATATTTGTAGACTGTACACAAATCTTTAGAAAATGAGACGGCAAATGCTTTTTACCTGATATTTTGAACAGCAATGGTAAAGAGGCCGATGAGACATAGACCCTGTGATGCAGCCAATGAGATATAGAGATATAGAAAGTGCATTCTTTGTAGTGAGTGACTCCTTTGAAAAGAACTCTCTAGCTCTTGCATTCGCTGTTTAAAAAAGAAAAAAAGAAGAAGAAGAAAAGAAAAATTGTTTTGCACCCACGCAAATACATACTCTCTGTCTTCCCTCCGCTACCTCTAGAAGCATATCACAGTGGTAGTGGAACGCAAACATTTACATCAGTATACACAGCAGTATACACATATACACAAGTCTTTGACGACTAGAGAGAGAGAGGAAACAAAAAAAAAAATAAGAGAAGGAGGAGATGGACAGAAACACAGAGAGAGAGGAAAAGAAAGAGAGGGAGAGAGAATGCAAACTGAACTGTAGGACTGCACTCAATCAGAGGAGCCTCCTTCTGCAGATAAAAGTGTGTGTGTTTTTTTTAACAGTTCACAGTTTGAAATAGTGTGCAACTAGCCCGCACGATGGTCCCTCAATGCTCGTGACGCTTGTGTTCACCGCATCCCAGAGGGAACTGGATAAACAGATAAACCAGCAGCGATGGCTACCTTTCACAGTCTTGTACTAAAAAGTCACTACTGTCCCCCCACACTGTCCCGTCAGATCAGCCTGGAATAACAAGTGAGGTCCCTGTAAATCAACGAGATATGCAGTGAGAGAACAAAAGAGAGAGAGAGAAAGGGGGAGAACTGGTGGCTCTGGGTGCAAAGTTCATCAGTACAAAAGTACAGTGCTGTGGTGAAAAGGATTCTCCTCTGTATTGCTGCTACATAGCTCCCCCTGCCCCCTGAAATCAAGAGGAAGAAAATAACAAAAACCAAGAGAATACAAAGGAACCAATGTGTTTAAAAAGTCTCCTTTTTTTCCCATTTTGCTTGACAAGCGTGTGGAGTTTATGCTGAGTTCCATAGACAAAGGAAGATTAATGCTTTCTGTTCAGGCATGCAATAGGCACCCTGTGGGGTCCTCAGGATTATCAAAAGTTCATACACGCAGGTCTCAGACTGTTCCCTCTATGATATTTACACATCTTACAATGTGTGTTCCTGTGTGTGTGTGTGTGTGTGTGTGTGTTTGTGTGTATGTGTGTGTGAGTGCGTGCTCAGAGTTGTGATCAGGAGAGAGGATTCGGCTAAAGCTCTGTGTGTTTGTGTGTGTGAGTGAGAGTGTGTGTGTGTGTGTGTGTGTCAGTTCAGTCTTCGCTCCCCTTTCTCTTTCTCACACATGTGTCTCGATGAAGGAGTGTGTGTGGGTCATGAGAGGTGCGGCCAGCGGGGAGAGGTCGTCCTGGCCGTTGGTGCCGGGACTGAGCTGGCAGATGTCTGAGTAGAGCTCGCTGTGCCACTGCTTCCACTCTCTGAAGGTCTGGGAGCACAGGCCAGGGTCCTCCAGGAGGGCACAGATTACCGCCAGCTCGGACTCTTTGGCCTGAGGGGGGAGAAGGAAAGAGACACCAGGGAGTTACCACATTGAATCCTCAAACATCTAATTCTTCTTTAAATCCCCAAATCCTCTGTCTGTGTTACCTTCAAGGTGCTGCGGAGGGCTCGGACCCGGTGCAGCCGGTCATTGAGCAGAGGGTCCCTGGCTCTCTGTGTGAAACAACGTCGGAACTCCTGCCTGCTGCAGGGTCTCGGGTCCCCCAGAGCTGTCACGTTGGCTTGCTCCAGGGCCCGGTACAGCTGCTCTAGCCCGTCCAACTGCTCCGGCTCACGTCCCTCTGACACCCGCCGCTCTCTTCCCTCTGACACCCTCCTCTCTCTGCTCTCAACTCTCAACTCCCGCAGGTCTGAGACACCCAGGAGAGTGAGAGTCAGATTCACTGCTAGAATTACACACTGAGCCCCATGTGGATATACAGAGGTGTGTTTAATATAGAGCGGAAACAATTAGTTGAATAATCAATGAGCTGACTGACAGAAAAAGAATCAACAACCATCTTGATAATTATTGTTTTTTTTTTCACCAAAATGGGCAAAAATCCACAACTTAGAGCCCCAAATATGTGAATACTTGCTGAGTTACATATGATGGTTATCTGACCGTTTTGCTATTTTGGACAGTTAGTAGACAAAACAAACAATATGAAATTGTCAGTGTGAACTTTTGGGCTCACTATTTTCTCACGTTTAATGTTCTTGCATGAGGCCCAAACTTTTTGGTTTGTGCACCCGTAAAATAAATACTTCTGTAACAGGGGTTAATGCAGATTTACCATTTTCAATAATTTTTGAAGGCAAAACTACAAGTTTCCTTTGTCCACAAGAAAAAAGCAAACATTACTTTAAAAAGTTCAAAAATATAACTGTATGCAACAGAATTAAATCTTTTTTAAAAATCTTTTTATCATCTCGTGTGCTCCAGGTTGAAAACCACTGCTCTAAATGCAGTAGTGACATATAATCAAGCACATGCTGTACTTAAATACAATTTTGAGGTACTTGTACTTTACCTATATATTCCATTGTATGCGACTGTGTGATTGCACTCCACTGCAACTCCTGACTCCACTATTTTTATTTCACAGCTATAGTTATGTTACAGATTAAACCTTGTATGTATAATAATTGCTTAATTAAGGTTGTTATTTCCTTTACATGCTTTTTAACTTGTTCTCTGACTTTATTAAAACCCACTATGTAGAGAAAAAGTGAGCCTTCACTCTCCAAACTGGGGTTGGACGTTTGATGGTTGCAGGTTTCAGAATACAGATATGAGTCTGTACGGTATCAGTATATTATTGTTCAAAAAGCAAAGCACATTCCATTTTCTGTTTATGTTTATGATCTATTTTTTGCCACTGTATCTGTGTATATTTGATAGGATTATATACATATATATTTTTTGTACTATACTATATATCTTTCTTCTCTTGTAAGGAGCACCTGTAATGTCAACAATTTCCACCGGGGATCAATTAATTATCTCTGATTCTGATTCTGATTAAGCTGCATTATTTTATCAAATAAGGAAAAGTATTTTTTTTTATGTTCTTTACTGTGTCTGAACAACAGACAAAAGACTCCCTGTTAGAGTTCTCATGAAGAAACTATTATAAAACTCCAACAACAGAAATTCTTAAAGACTTATTTTAGAGGGGTAGAGCTACATAAAAAACAATCACAGAGCAGCAGATAGAGAGCTTATGAGCACCCATCGTATTTAACCCTGATTTACAGGTGGGTTCTCTGAGACCCAAAACTTCTGAAACATATCCTCTATTCAAAATCATGTTTATAAGCAGCTTTCCTAAAAACAGTGTTCAGTGTGTTTTATGAGCTGTTCAAGAGTCACATTTCACTGCAAAATGAAATGCTTACATATCTTACATATCACTGCATCAGTGGTAGTAATCCAATAATATTATGTTTCATAATATATTACTGACAGGGACCTATGTTCTTTTTTTAAAGATTATTTTTTGGCATTTTTGCCTTTATTAGGTAGGAAAGTCTAGGGCGAAATGGGGACAGAGAGGGATGACATGCAGCAGGGCCAGAGTTGGAATCAACCTCCTGGCTGCTGCGGTTAGGACATAGCCTTTGTACGTGTAATAACTGCTTTTACTTTTGATATTTTCTTATTAATGATACTTAGGTACTTTTACTTTAGTAACATTTTCAATGCAGGACTTTTACTTGTAATGGAGTTATTCTACAATGTGGTATTATTACTTTTATTTAAGTAAAAGATCAGAATACTTCCTCCACCACTGCCTAAATTACACCGTTTTAGCCATAATATATTTATGATAAATGTGCACTGTCTGTCATTTGGCCCCTATATCCTGTGTAACATGACCTGCCCAGGTCCGCTTTCATCTGTACTTTGTTTACACATGCCTTTTTTAATATTACAACAAAGTTAATATACAGTACTGTAAGTTCTGACACACTATAGTCTTTAATTAAGGAAATCATCATGTGTTGCACAATATTTTTGACCCATTAGCCACTTAAGTCTACTCTTCTGAGGACGTCTTCCTGTGTTTTTAAGTGTTTGTGCATACTGCTGCCTCTGTCCTTGTACAAAACAAACTGTGTGTCATTGCCTTACCCTCCTCACCCTCGAGCATATCTGCAGCCTGCCCCTCTGCCTCCTCGTCCTCGCTCCTCTCCTCCATATGAGCTGAGGTGTGCAACAGCTTTCCTGGCATGGGGTCCCTGTTCCTAGGCAGACTCTGGCTGCGCTGCTTGTGAGAGCGTCGGTGTGTGTGGCTGTGTGTGTGAGGACCTCGCTCCAGAGGAAAGGGCCCGTCCCGCTCCCTGTCTCTCTCTGCGGCGTGATGTCTCCGTACGGGTAGTGTGGCTTGCCTGCGTCTCTCCGGGGACATGCCCTGTCTGCCCAGCCCGCCGTACAGCCCCATCTCTCCAGCCATGCTCCCCATTAGGCCCCCATAATCACTCTCCCCCGGCGCTGTCTGGAGGAAGTGCAGCCCTGCACTGGTCAGAGGGGTCTCAATGAGGTCCTGCCAGGAGCGGCGCTCACGATGGGAGGAGCGGCAGCCGGATGAGTGGGTACTGGTGCTGCCTGTGCCCGTGCCCATGCCCATGCCATCTCCACGCTGGTCCTCGGCTGAGGAGTGGGAGTGCGTGGACTCGCTGGAGAAGTGTCGGCCGTGCTTGGGCTCCGGGAACGGGCTAGAGGAATTGACCTGGAGAGGGAGAGGGGAGGTGGAAGAGACCATCTGTGGAGGGATGGGGGATGTGGAGGCACTCATTGATGGAGGGAGTGGAGACGGAGTGGAGCGCATAAGGCTCATGGAGCTGACAGAGCGGGGCAACTGGTCATAACTGTGGAGGAAGTTAGCCTGAAGGGCCAAGGGTTTGTAAGACGGACAGGTTGGTCGGTATGCAGAGGAGTGAAGAGGGATGGACGGACGTTGACAGAAAGGTGACAGGTGAGCACAGATACAAGGAAAATGTGACCCGCAAAACAAGGACAGGGAGGAAGTGTGCAAGGAAGGAGAGAAGAAAGAAGGACAGGAGAATATAAAAGGCAGAAAGAGAACAAAAGATGAGAGCAAAAAAGCAATGAGATGGCAGATGAGTAACTCCAGGAATGACTGATGTGACTTTTGCATGGCTCAGCGGGGAGAACGCACCAGCGCCACTGAACCATCTTCTAGTAAAAGTCTATTCCAGTGTTACATTATCTTTCAGGGATGTGATGAGAAATGGCAATTGTCGCCACCTAGAGGTCAGATTGTGAAGAAGTTCTGGCAGCAGAACACAGACAAGTGATGGTCTTGGCTGCTTACCGAACCAGATACTCTCACACTCTGATGTTTTATTAATGCTGAGAGCTCTGCTCTATGCAGCTCAGAAAACTGTGGGGCTTTTAGGAATAAAATATTCTATCAGAATGAAACCCTGCAAAGAAAATGTTGAGTATGTGCGTGTGTGTGTGTGTACTTACTGATGGCGTGCGGTGATAAGTATCACAGAGGGATGAGGGACCCTCCTGTTTGAGCGTCATTGAGCCATCCACCTCGTCTTGATCGCTCTCACTCCAGTAGTCTGAAATTGAGATAAAAACAGACACACACACACGTACATGTTAGCATTTTATGGAAGAAAGGGTAAAGTCAGTAACATCTAGCCAACTGAATCTGTCTCACCTTCGTCAGGGCGTGGCACCTTGTCATCTGGTGTGTAGCCAATAGCAGCTAACCCCAACCGGTTCATCCACCTAAAGGAAACAAGGAAAAAGAAGAAAGGTGAAAGATGTAAAGAAAGGAAAGAAAGGCTGCAAAGGATAGATGAGAGGAAGAGAAGAGTGGAGGAGGGGAAAGGATGGGTTATATTGGGTAAACGGTAGATGATGAATAAAAAACTTTCACTTTAAATAATTTAAACGGTGTCTCTTAACAGTTGATATCTGTCTGACTGACTCCATCCCCCCGATGAGGAGAGAAAAGCATCGAGATAATTAAAGAGATGGATGCAGAAACAGAGGAGTGACAATCCTCTGTCCCATTCTCTCCCAACACTCAGTCACAGATGGCGGTCTTTCTCTACATCCACAGCTCCTGTCCTCTTCCACCCCTCTGTCAGATCCTGGCCTGTCCTGTGACTCTCTGCAGACACCCAATAATAAGGTCACTACTAAGAATAGAGGACCTGCCTGTGCATGAGGAACAGGAAACATGTCATACTAGGAAGTTAATCCTAGATTAAAAGGGACCTTTAGTTGTAAAGTTCATACTTGTATTTTGGGGTTCTACTAGAACATGTTTATATGCTTTAATGTACAAAAAAAAAACAAAACTTTATTTTCTTCATACTGTCTGTGCTGGAACACCTGTATTCACCCTCTGTCTGAGACGCTCTGTTTTAGTGCCTGTCTCTTTACAAGTCTGCTCTGATTGGTCAGTTTTTCAGGTCTTCCATATCTCATCATCTCTGCACCATCATTGAAACTGGGGAATGACTTTAAGGGAGTATAGTAGCACTTTCTACCCCAAAACATCACCAATTAAAGCATCTAAACAGAACCTGATCTGTTCCAGCAGGAAAATGATTCCAAATGTGAGAGAAATTATCAACCTCAAACCTCAAACCTAGAACCTAGAACTCTTGCAATAGTGCGCCTAAAGCAGATGACGAGAAATCTGTACCGAACTGCTGTCAGCTTGTCTCGAAAGTAGAAAAAAAACCTCGGAAACAGAGTATTCAGAACGGTCTGAAGCCTGAGGTTTTGCTCACAGGGATTACTTTTATATATACGTTTTTACCTCATTATATGAAACTTTGGCCATGTTTAATATGAACATACGGCATTCTTATATTATATATATATATATATGACAGAAAATAAGGGAAAGCATGATAAGTACCATTTAACCTTTCTTTTCCCATGAAAAGACCAAACCTAACCATGAATTAATTAAATTCAGATAAACCCTGGGAAAGCTTATTCCTCTGTGCCTTCAGGCTCCATTGTCCAAAAACTTCTAAAACACATCATGCCAGAGGTGCTTAGCGCATCACATATGTCTTTATCCGTGAATGAAATTAGTCCCAAACAAATGAACTAGTACCTCCTGTTTGAGTAATGTTTGCTAAAAACTACATACCCAGCTGCAGTAGGAAATTAATGAGCCTTTTCAAAAAATAAATAAAAGTATATATTTGTAAGCCATTTTTAAAGATTTGCATCTTCATTAGGGAACAAATGGGCTAGGGGAGCTCCACATAGGACAGGGAAGTCAAACTGTACGAGTGAGAGATGGAGGAACACATTGCAGACTTTGAGCTTTTCACAGGATTTGCTGTGAATAAAGACAAGTTATCTCACTCACTTTTGAGCATCAGTTTTGTCTTTTCCTTGAATTCAATCTTTAGAATGACTTTTAATTATCTGCCAGCAAGCTGTGTTTTGTTTGGTGGGGTGGCCTCTGGGGCTCAAGCCCCAAATGGGTTTTCAAAAGCCTGACATCTTTAAGGTTTTAAAATACCTTCAACTTTGTGTCAATCAGATAATAATATATATATATATTCCCTATAAAGAAAGACTACTAAAGACCACACTTACTTGGCATTGTTTTGGATTCTTGATTCGCAATTAGAGCAGCTTAGTTTATTACGGCATGGATTCAAATGTAGCTAAACATTCATCTGTGAACTCTACTCCAGCACAGTGTAACAAAACTAGGTTTTAAGATTAGTAATGCTGTTTACAACAAATTCCTACCCTGTCTATGTTACATGACTTAAAAATAGTACGATTTTCACCTCTTTTTAGGCGGCAGTAGTGAAAATTAGTCACCCTCAACATTTGTTGTGTTACGGTTTCAGCATATTGAAGATAGCAGGAGAACAATTAAATACAAAATAGGATGTAGGCTCTACAGCATAATAAAACCATTATGCTTTTCCCAGATAATGTACAGATTTTGAGGCATTTGATTATCTCTAATTGCGTAAACAACAGTACAGATAGCTGCTGTGAATAGAAAACTCTCCCCCGGCCCCCCTAGGTTTGGGCTGAGCCCCGAACGTCTGGCTCCACCCCTGCTCCAGAAGCCCAGAAATCCCACATGTAAGTGCACCAAAAAGCTATGTTAAACTTTCATGACATATAAAGCCATTTCTCTGATGCCTATACCAACACCCTCCACACGCTTTCACACATGAACCTCCAAGCGCAGTATGGAAGTCAAATATAGCTGGTTAATTACTCTCCCCCAATTATCTCCCCATGTCATTGAGGAGAGGTGTGGATAATTAGAGCTCATCAGATAGCACTCCTGCAAGTATCACTATGATCTCCCTCTCACACGAGCACACACGTGACACACACACACATTTACACACACATACACACACACACACACACACACACACACACACACACACACACACAGTTCTACATTTAACAACAGAGGGCCAGGTTCATGCCTTATTCATGCACAGTGTTGTGTGGGCTGTTGCCTTGTGTAAACTTGGTTTACTGAGCTAAAATATTCATGAAAGGACACGTGACATCCCCCCAGCACCTGACTGTTGTCCACATTAAGACACAAACACCCACTCTGAGAGACACCCACTCACTCACTCACTCACCTGTTCATTTCCTCAAGACAATCTGTGGCGAAGAAGAAGCTCTTGATTTTGGGATGACAGGCTTTGAAGGCGCTGCAGTCAGTCGGGAAGAAGAAGACTGATTAATGTTTTGGCGTATGCGCGGTAGGTGTGTGTGCTGTTCATGCTGTGTGGGTGAGAGCAAATGTGCTTGATTAGTAATTTCGGCGACATGTGAGGGACACTCACAATTTCCGTCTGCACTCTATGGCTCGGTCTATTCTGAACTCAGGGAGGCTGATGAAGCCCTCAGCCTTCTCATCCTGCAGGCAGAGACAGATGGAGAGTGGTGGTACATCATCAACACAGAGAACAAAATGTCATACATACTGATATACCAATTTTATTTTGGATAGTACTACTCTAGTCAAGCATATGAAAACAGCATATGTTGTTTATGTTGGCTCCTTTCACCACTTGACACAAAAAAGCCAGATGAGATATGATGATTGTAGCTAAAAAACCCAGTTATATAAACAAACCATCACATTCACAATTCATTTTAGGTCTTTTTCTTCACCATATTGCAAATAGTCTAATAAACCATTGATACAAACATCAAAACTGTGTTCTCAACAGTGAGCTTTGTGTTTGTATGAGGTCAAAAACCTCTGAATGCATCAAACAGATCAGCCTGAATTTGAGCTGCAATGACTCGTTCATTAGTCTAGTCGATCGACAGAATATTTTAACTGCTTTGATAATCAGTATCAGTATATAGTATCAGTAATACATTTTAGTAAATGGAATATTACTTGCTTTTAGATTGTTGGCCTAACAAAGCAAACATAGGATAATATCATTTTGGGCTTTTTCTGATGTTTTATAGACCAAACAATTGATTGATTTATCAAAAAAAACTGGCAGATTAATCAACAATGAAAATAATCATTACTTACAGCCCCTCTATGAAAGCTGGAAGCTCAAATCCAGGAATGGTGATATTACATAAAAAAGTGATAAAAAGCAGCACTGAATAATTTCTACTAATATAACTCAAAAGTGCACCCAAAAATGAAAATTCAGCCATTCTCTACTCACCCATATGCCGACGGAGGCCCTGGTGAAGTTTTAGAGTGCTCACATCCCTTGCGGAGATCGGCAGGTGGAGCGGCTAGCGCACCTAATGGTAGACAGCGCCCCAGACTAACGTCCAAGAACACAAAATTGAATCCACAAAGTATACTGTATACTGCTCATCTGTAGTGATCCAAGTGTGCTGCAGCCGCAACATAAAAAGTTGTTTCAAAAAACATCATATGAACTCTGTTTTTAGCCTCACTGTCGCCTGTAGCTCTGACTGCTTCTCTGTGCTTCGTGTTCATGTGTGCGCGCGCTCAGGGTGATCGGTGATCTCTGAAGAGCAGCAGTCCTGATGTCCAGATTCTCAAGTGCAGGCATCGCCAATTCCCAGTCTGAGCAGCAAAGACTTTCCTCATCCGTTGGCATTGCTTTGCATTTGAAACAACTACACCACCAGTTTTCCAGTGCTCGACTCCAGTATTCTGCGGCTGGCTGAGGGTTAGGCTCATGAGCTGCGGCGGCTGCTTTGTCCAGTAGCCTGAGTTCCGTCCGTATACTCGGGCTCAAACAAATACGGCTCAACAAAGAAATGCTGTTCCTCTTCAATTTCAAAGTCTTCAGACATGTTGGGCTGTCCTTTGCTAAAAGACCATAGTGCAAATTATCTTTTAGCTACTGTGGTTATGCTGTCTCTCCCTGCGGTGCACGTGTCATGTGATGTAAACACGGGTAAGCAAAGCTCATGCTTTCGCTGGTCTCGCGCAAGCACGCACACGTGAGCGCGGAGCACAGAGAAGCAGTCAGAGCTACAGGCTACAGTGAGGCTAAAAACAGAGTTTAAATGACGTTTTTCCAAACAACGTTTTATGTCGGGGCTTCAGGACACTTGGATCACTACGGATGAGCAGTATGGAGATACTTTGTGGATTCAATTTTGTGTTCTTGGACGTTAGTCTGGGGTGCTGTCTACAATTAGGTGTGCTAGCCGCTCCCCCCGCCGATCTCCGCAAGGGATGTGAGCACTCTAAAACTTCACCAGGGCCTCCGTCGGCATATGGGTGAGTAGATAATGGCTGGATTTTCATTTTTGGGTGCACTATCCCTTTAAATCCCCATACCATCAACTTTTTGTACAGTTGACCTCATTATAAGATTCCTTTTTTGTTTATTCATTTAACCCATATCTAACCAGGTAAGTCCCGCTGAGATCTCTTTTACGAGAGAGACTTGGCCCAGACATCAGCATAAAAAGTTCCAGACAAACAAAAATAACTGCAAAAAAGAAAAAAAAAAAAAAATAACATATTGAAATATTAAATAACCAATGGTAGGTACCAACAGATTCATTCACTACTGTTCTTATGAGAGCTTTAAACTGAGACAAAGTCTGATTTTAAAGTCTTTCTGAAGGCTTCTCCAAGCGAGCAGAGCAGAGCACATACAAGCTTTCTTACCAAGTTCAGTCTGTGTGCTTAGATCAGACAAAGAGATCACATCCTATGATCTCAGACTATAGCTGCAGTCAGATCTCTGTTCAATTCCTTGAAAACAGTAACCAGCAAAAAGTTTCTAGATAACAAAAAAAATGAACGAGTAAATGTTCCATTATTTATTCTTAATTTCTTTTCATAATGTCTGCTGTGTTGGTTTTTTGTAAAAAAAAATCCTCAGCTGGAATCTAACTAAGGGCATTGTAATTGCATGGTATCTTTTATGTTATAATGTTCAGATATAAGATTTTAATATGTTTAAAATTAATCTGCATTTTAAGGGGTACACTATTAAGTATCATGCTTTTCTATGAGCTGAGAGACAACGAAAAAGGTCAAACTTAAAGCAGCAGTGCCTAATATAATTAGATATTTAGTCCCTAGTATGAGTCAAGCTCCAAAAACACAGGATCCTACAATTCCCCCAATGCAACTCAATGGCATCTTTTGCTAGAGATGTTAAATACACTGGCACATACAGTGTCCCCACTTTGAAGTGCAGATTTGCTGTCAAATATTTATAGTCTAAAACCTTACTCAAGAGAACCCCGATGACATCATCATGGTGAGTTTCTCAGACCTTAAAAAGCTCCCTCCAGAGCTAGAGAAGACATCACAGAACTGTTTCTACACACTGAGCAACTCTCCACGATGAGGAGACTGACAATTATGTGTGAAATTGGTGGAGTGTCCCGTTAATTCCCTTATTCTTTTGACGAGGCTGTGGTATCTCACCCTTGTACATTAGTTTTAATAAAACTGCTTCAACAAACTGAATGAAGATGCACAGAGGAGAAAAAATGTTGCTGAAATGATGAAAACTAGAGGAGTTTGACTCAGACACTGAGATTCAGGACATAATGGCAGTTAAATATGACTCCTTACGTTTTGGTTAGTGTACCAGTAGAGGCAGGACTCTTTGAGGATAAACCAGTACTTCCTCCATTTCTGTGTGAAGTAGCCTTTAGCATCTTTCTTCTTCCACAGCCAGCCTTCACAGTCACCGTGGCCCAGGTCCTTACAGGAAATTCTCCTTCGACTAGCACTAGTGAGGGAACCTGCAGAGAGAGGAAAGGATGTTAATACTGAAAGTCATTTTCATAAGTAAAGTAGAAGTGTAGCCATGTATTTAGTGGTTCCAGTCTGGCACTAACAGGCTGAATCCAAATGTCTGGACTCTGTAAGTCTGCAGTAGCTTACAGTCGCACTTTTTTCATGTAAAATCAGCACGCAGTGTGAACTTATGAATCCCTTCACACTGACATTTTTTACACATCTGCACTGGGTTTTCAGAGTATTACGTCAGTAACAATCAATCAGGTGTGTCAGGTGTCTGTAAATGTTAATTTTCTATTTTGCGAGTGTTATTGCACCTGTGTGTGCATTTCTTTTCATCTAATACTGTGCATCTGGACTTTTCATGCACATAAGCAATGTGTTATATCAGCAAGCCTGTCTCAACTCTGCTTTTGATATTTCAAGCCCTGTCACCCTCTCACAGTCACACACCACAGTGCACATGTCAGTCACAGCACCTAGAGTCTGTCAGGCTGAGTTTGGAGTTCAGACTTTTAGATTGAGCCACATTTTTAGGGGTAAAAGATTCACTCTTTCTGGAGCCACCAACACTAACAAACATATACCGTGGTAAAACTGTTAAGATCGTGCATAAGGAAGAGAAAATGCACCAGTGTATCTACCTTTACTTCTCTTTTTGGTTTTCGTTCTTAGAGAGGTGTAATGGAAAGACTAGAGGGGAGAGAGAAAAAACAAGTTAGTTCAAAAAAAAAAAAAAAAAGCTATCTGGGTTGGTGTTGATGCACGTAGAGAGGTTGCAGCAAGTTCACTCTTCATGTTTAGCTTATTTTTATTTTATCCGGCACACTGCAGAGAGGATTACAGGCACAGAGGGATCACAATACTAAAATTGCTACAGCCAGGATGTGACCTACAACCTGTGATGGAGAAATGAAAGCTGCCTGCCACAGAGACTAAAACCACACCGAACTGCATCACTTTAGCTTCTACTTTTAGTCACCTGAAAACACTGAGATGCATCAAAAAGATTTCAGTACTGAGACGCTGAAGTTGACTCAGATTTTTAGTGCTTAGTTTTGAGATTTTCCTTGATACTGTCTTGAAAGGCATCAATGAAATCAACCCACTGTGGGCTATTTTTTATGGCTGTTTTTAACCATGTTAGCAGCATGGCTTTTGCTACTATGGCCATAAGTAACAATTCTGTGCTAATGATCAATACTAAAATGTAGTATAACGAAAGAGTCATGACGTCAGTATCTCAATAATGCCTCTTCTTCTTCTTAATCAGCTACAACTATCTGAAGTAAGCTAACATTAGCTAGCATTAGCAACCGTAAGTTACTGGTCATACCAGGCTTGCGCGGCTTTTGCAGCAGCTAAAACTGCACAAGTAAGACACAAAGAAACTGTAATTTTCAAGTCCCTGGAGAGGGTGAAATGTGCACCTAACTGCACTGCCAAGATAATTGCGCCTTAGTGCTCCTGTGCTGTTTGTACGTATTCAAATTAGGTAATATGCATAGCCTACATTTGGCGCTAAATGCAAATGAGCCTCATTGCAAAAGCAGTCCAATTCACAAAGATCAAAGCTAATAGCCACACACAGTTATAGTGAAATTAGTATCTTCACAGAGTTGGTGGTAGGGTTGTCAACATACTGAGGTGGAAATAAGGAACGGGGGGATACAAAAGAGTTGGCCTTGTACACATTCTCACTCACACATATGAGCCATTGGTAACTGTAGCATTGTAGCAACGCTGTCACATGTAGTGTTGCTACAATAGTTTGACAGTGGCCTCTCACTGGTCGTGACTCATGACGCATTCTCTGTCTGATAAGTGGAAGGCTAAGGGATGACAGATCAGCAGTGTTTCCTTTTTCATATATGTCGCTCTGTCTTGATAGTTTAACCTATAATATTTCTCTCCCATGCACTGAGCTGATTCTCAGAAATAAGGAACAAAGCTCGTCCTGTATCACTTCAACACGAAACATGTCTTTTAGTTTCCAATTACAGGATGATTCCTTATTTTACGGGACGGTTGGCTCCCCTAGTTGGTGATAATTTAAGTGCGCTGACAGACTGGGATGGTAAATCGCAAATACACTTTCTCTGTGCCACGTTTCAGTTCCTTGCTTGAGGTTTTGAAAAATGCCTCTACACCTTGTTGGTCGGGACCTGTAGCTCATTGTCACTGGAAAGTTTTCTTTTTCTCTCTGCCATTGTTCTGCCTACTGTGTTCTTGACACAAAGGCAACATTTATACTTTGCCACAGAGATAATTGCAATCAGATGCAAAAAAGGGCAAATTGCACTCATCTGCAAAACTTGATTGGCATGTTTGCACTGTAGTAATTAGCGCAGTATCTTTAACGAATCTGACTTTTCAATGGGGCAGATATAAGCCAAGTGCAAGGGTGCTTTTTATTGTTTGTGAATCAAACCTTTCATTCCTAAGAACTTGTTTTATTTGGTCTTTCAAAGTAACAAACTCACTTTAAAATCAAATTTTATGTTCCGCAAACACACCTGAACTGCACTATCTACTGCATAAAGAAGCTAACATGAGTAGGCTAAGTGGCTATAGGTACCAACATTAACATAACTGAATACACCTTCTGATTATTAATTTAGGTAACAAAGCCGAATAAATATCGTTTTATAGTCGAGCTGACTCATTGTATGCTACAACTCATAGTGCTTTGGAGGAGAGGCGAGGGCTAATGACTAAGACAGCTTCCTGTGTCACAGTAACCTAAATATGGAAACCAATTTACCTCATCCGACCGTTATCTTTTATTTAATTATTACAGTCTTGAATGAGTTTCATCTCAGGTATCTCTCCTATTCTTGTCTGGCTGCATGTTTAGCTATTATTTGGACACACTCAAGCTCGACGTAACAACGGATGTGTTCTCACTGTCGAATCCTCTGCTGCGTCATTAAAACGCAGTTTAAGTCAGAATCAAAATGTACTGGCACAAGACAGCATTATTTAAAAATTCATTTCAACAAACCATCAGAAGTATAGATTTATAAAACATCTAAGAGATGCACGGTCAGCCCCGTAGCGCTGTCTGCTCTCCTACCTTCCTCATAGAGGCCGCTCCTGAGCTTCCTGAGCCAGAGTACCTGCAGGGGGACAGACAGGATTGAATGTAACCACAACCGACACTTACAACTCCTTCCATCAATCACAAGCATGTGGTCGAACCACAAATGACCACAAACACAGACTCACCTGTCTGTTGTGTCTGCTCGCAGTGTGTCCGCACCTCGCTGAGACAGGAGAAAAGAAAAAGACATCATTTAACTGCTTCTAAAAAACCTCTATAGGTCTGCCAACATGGCAGCACATACACACAGACACACACATTTCTTCTGTGCACCTTAATTATCACATCATTGTCTGTGGTTTGCATTTCTATTCCCCATATGTATTGAAAACCTACATAACATACACTATAAGAGATGGGCAGTGTTTCTGATACAATTGCAAAATTCAACAGTCTACTTTCACATATTTTTTTCATTTAAAACATTTCACACCCATGTAATATTTTGGCCCAATGAATAGAGACCTGGATATCCTCTTCACAGTAATATACTGTGTAAATGAATCCATTAGCTGCAAGGGACTGAGCCTATATGGGGTGCACACTGCATGGTGTGCTACAGGTCGCCACAAGTAGGAACCAGTGTCATTATCAAACTAACTGTGAATTTGTGTTTGGTGTTTTTTTGTTGAATTGTCATTCAAACAACACAGCATGGAGTGGCAAGGTGATGCAGTGGTTAGTATTGTCGCCTCACAAGAAGAGGGTCCCTGGTTCGAACCCGGAGTAGGGGAGCCCTTCTCTCTGTGTCAGCGTGGGTTTTCTCCGGGTACTCTGGCTTCCTCCCACAGTCCAAAAACATGCAGGTTAATTGGTGAATCTGAATTGGCCGTAGGTGTGAATGTGAATGTGAGTGTGAATGGTTGTCTGTCTCTATGTGTCAACCCTGTGATAGTCTGGCAACCTGTCTGGGCTGTACCCCGCCTCTCGCCCAATGTCAGCTGGGATAGGCTCCAGCCCCCCCCCCCGCGACCCCTAACAGGATAAGAGTCTACGGAAAATGGAATGATGACTGAATGAATGTTATTTAATCTATTTAAAAATACTAACACATATTTAAGTGAAAATGAAATCTGTTGAAACAGAGAACGTAAAGTACAGCACAGGTAGTAGTGCCACTACTATTAAAAGCTGTCAGCCCGTCCTGAGGACTCAGCTGCTTACATTTGATCAGTTTCATCATCAACAGATTATTTTTTGGACTGATTACACATTTTATTCCTGGTGACTATAATTTAATCAAGACATTAACCACCATATATAATCCTATAATCCTCCCAGTGAAATGTTTTTACTGAATTTTGACTTTTATTAAAAAAAGAATTTGTACTAATCTCTGCCCCAAGTGTGGAGACACTTTTAAATGAATGGTCCTACCGGGCAAAAACTCAGGGACCTGGGCACCCAGGAGAGGGTCACAGGTACCCTGAACCATAGCCATTAGGCACAGTTTCATTTCATTATCCATTAATTTGCCATTATGCAACACAATTGATTGAATGTAGTTGTGCTGCTGTGGATGAATTCAGGATAGCTTTGTTGTGCAACTTTGTACTGCTGCTAGACAAAGACATGAAACTCTACAAGCTGAACATCCGTGAGTTCAAATAACGTGTTTTTTGCTGAAATGTTGGTGTTGTACGTTTATAACAAAGAATCATACAGACAGAGAGAGGGAGAGGAAACAGGCAGGTCATTAAGGTTAGCATATGCTTGTTAGTGCAGGACAGTATACTTCATGTGCCACCGAATAGATATGAGTCACCACCATGAGAAGCACACAGCTGAGAGGGTTAGAGAGGGCTGGTGTTAGCTAAGCTGTTAGCACCCTGTGTATATGTGTGTGTGTGTGTGTGTGTGTGTGTGTGTGTTTGTGCGCATCGTGTTTTAAGCACAGTCTGTCAGTAGCGCTTGTAATTGGTCTGGCTGATGCTGAGTCATGCACCTACTCACAGGGATACGTGTTTGTGTGCGTGAGCGCGTGCAAGAGTGTGTGTGTGTGTGTGTTTGTCCAGAATAAACTCCTATTTAGACTCAGGCGTGTCTGAGGAGATGGGGATATTAGGATGAGTTAGGATGAGTCGTGAGATGGCTACCCTGCATACAAATGCACTTCTGTGTGCTAGTGTGTGTTTGTTTGTGTATGTATATATGTGTGTGTGTGTGTGTGTATTCATGTGTGTGTGTGTGTACTGCTGTGTGAACGAGAGAAAAGTTACAGAGGGGCGTGTCTGAGAGCGTGACTGTCATTCTTATAATCCGCGAAGCTGGCAGCCATGCAATGACACTGATCATCCTCACTCTCCTTTGTCTCCTCTACCTGACACACACACACACACACACACACACACACACACACACACACACACACACGAACGCACAAAGAACAATGTGTTTTAATCTGTGAACACCACGACCTATCCTGCAACCACACACAGTCTCCCTTGGAGAGGACACAGACACACACTGTAAGATAAAAGGAAGGTGTGTGAGTGAGTCAGGCTTAAAGCCTTGAAGGTGATTTTAGTGCTACTAACAGGGCTTTTGTAAAGCACACAGTTTAACATGTCACAGGGGGACAAATACAGGTGTTACTAATAAAATTAACAATGGCTGAATTCCATTTAGCTGCTTCAGTTTTAGGCTCCTCGTATTGTGCATGCTGGCTCACTGACAGACTGAGTTACTGGGACACTTGAATAGAATGGCACTGCGTTCTCTTCCCAACTCGTCAAATACTGCCGCTTTGTGGACTTTCATGTCTAAATGCTGCTCTTTGAAAGTCAGAGATACAAACTGAAATACTTGATACCTTTCCCTGAGCACAAAAATGTAATTCATATGCAAAATAATAAAAAAACAAAAACATGCGGGTCAAAAATTACAGACTGCGCCCAGTTTCCAACTCAGTTTTACATTTAAAACCACAGAAAAAAAATCAAGGCTGATCTCAACACAGTTAACAAGCTACTGTTTAGCTAATGTAAGCAACGTTAGCTAATGTTAGCTAATGTAAAGCTACCTTTAGAACCAAAAGTAACCCTTCAGACATGGTTCCAAGACCCTAGCGTTTCCACTGCAAACATTACTCTTAAATGTGGATGGGGTAGGTGTCACTCACAGCTCCATCCACCACGCACTGTATTTCCTCTTCACTGGTGACACAAAGGGAAGTCTGCACAGTCCACAGAACACGGTTGCATGCCAACATTTTCAGAACAAAAGGGCTGCAGTGAGATTTTTAAAAATAGCAGGTTTGTGCATTTAGTCCTTCTAAGGCACGTGCCACAGTGAACTTTAAGGTGTGCTGAGGGATCCACGTTGTCAACTCATGCATTAACTAATGTTACAAGTTAACTTTCCACCTTAAAAGTTGAAAAACACTCGAATTACTCAAATTATTTTTTTTTCTTAGTCTACAGCTGCTGCAAGAGGCAGCAAAACATCCTTTAATTTTATAGTTCCGGTCTACTTATAAAACTCTCCACAGTAGGAACAATTACATGAGCCTCAAAACCAGCCACAACTCAGCCCTGAGCAGAGTGACCTTCTGCTACTGACCAATCAACAGACTGCAGTGTTCACAGCTCCACCTTTTAGAAAAAGATCTTTGTGCTGTACCCCCCCAACAGAGGGGTAACCAAAAATGGCGACGATACGGAACAGTTCCATTGGTACCATCCACAACTTTTTATAGTGGAAACGGAAGAAAAGCGTACCCAACTGAACTGAACCGGACTGCTTGGTGGAAACAGGGCTTTATTTGTGGCTTGTGCAACAATGACTTGGTCACACCTCTGTAATTATAATGTAATATATGATAATGCATCTGCCGCATGCAGAACACACAGAACATGAATGCAGATTTTTTGCTTTTGGGATCTGAATACTTATTTCCCCACTGTTTTTTATGAGGTCTACACCAGGAATGCTTTGAATGCATTGTATATTTCCTTTAACTTCTATTGTGAAATTCTTTTTCATTTTTTAAAGATTCTGTTGTTGTTTATTGCATTAGACCCATCTCACTGACAAATCAATTCAGCACTTCTCGAACTTTGAGTGTGTTGTCTGGTGAAATATGCAAGCATATAAAATAGCATCGTCTATACATGTCGCTGTGTGCAGACTTTTCAGTTGCCTTTAAAGGATAAGGCTGCCGTAATTCTGTATTTTGCTTATTTTTAACACATCCCCTACAAAGACTAAGACCAGTTCGAGAGAAGGCAGATATCTCTACAGCTGATATTACACACTTGGCAACTTACACCAAAACAATCTAGACTGATAAATATATCATATAATCGTAATAACATTGTACAATAATTCTCTACCCAAAATGTGTACGTAAAATAGAACATACAACACATCACCACCAGCAGCAAAGATTAAAACTAGATAATGTGTCATGTTTTTAAACTGAACATAAACTAAATTTAACATAATGATGACTTGATAAATGATTAATGACAAGCAGCACTGCAAGACCTTTCACTTATACAAACTCTGAAAAGGTTCAAACACTGTGTACGTACAGGCAAAGCATCGGGTGGCTGGTCTAGGCGCAGGGTGGAGGACAGCATGGAGGGGCTGATGGGAAAGCTAGGGCTGCTGGGATTGCGGCTCTTGCGCCGAGAGCGTCTGGTGGAATCCCGCCGGCTCTCTCTGCCCGGACCTTCGGGCTCCTCCTCAATCACCAGGATCTTGTCGTCGCTAAGGTAACGCAGCAGGGAGTTGTCTGAATCTGTAGGGATGAGGGCAGTAGACGGATGGAGAGGTTAGAGGATGGACAGGCTCGACGGAACGGATGACAGAGGGAGGAAAACCGCAGAGGAGGGAGGGGGAGATAGCGTCGTAGAGTCGAGGGAGAACCTCAGAGTAGAAACAGATGAGGGTGAATAGACCCTTACAGATAAAAACCAAACAGAAAGGGATAAAAGTACCTCAGAGCTGTACTATCTGATATGGATCCACAGCCGGGGACATACAGCTAATCTTTTTGCAATGATTATGCTGATATGGAGGGCACTACTGCTAAATCTTGTCAGTCACAGAAAGTTTTATTCTGCTTTAGCTCCAGATAGAAATGGCTTCTCACTTTATTTGTTTATTATCCATACACTTAAATGTGAAAAAACTAAAAAGTGACTGAGAGAAGGAGAAGGAGAAAAGCAGAGCCCAGACAGTAGTATTGTGCTTTAATGTTATTCATGGACTTTCTGATGGTAGAGTGGAGGATCCTCGGCCGAATACAGATCGAGTCTCACCGCAAAACGGTAAAGCTGGTTAGAATTGGTCACGCTGAAATACCCTCATTTCCAGAGCAGCTGTATAAATGCAGTTTCCTTGCATTTATGTTTACTTGTCACTCTGTCAGATACATACCTGACAGATATGTATCCTCACACAACCACACCACCATGGAGAGCCAGAGGATGAGCTGAAATGTGTTATGGAGCAAAGCACGGCACCAGTCCGACCCGTTTGTGTTAAGTGTGTGAGGGGCTGTGTTTTTGCGTGTGTGTGTTTGTGTGTGTACCTCGGCTCCCTCTTTTGCCCATGCTGGGTTCCTTGGCCTCGGCCATCCAGTTATATTCGGGAGGCATGGAAACAGGCCTGAGGTCACCTGGAAGGACCAATCAGCAATCAGAGAGTCGTTTACGGGGGGAGGGAGTGGGGGTGTCGCGGGTGACTGAGAGACAGCGTGGGAGACAGCTGGAGGGGTGGACAGGTAAGACAAAGTGTGTGCAGGTGTGGGGGAAGAAACGAGAGACTCTCGAGTCGAGGGACTGCTGTGACATGTAAGGCAAGAGGTCACACAAGAGGTCTTATTTACAAGTTATATTCATCCACAACATCCGGGGCAGCTGAACTAGCAGCGGTGCTAGGGAGCTAATCTGCTAGCATGTTTACTATTGGCTGAAAACCACTGGTGAACTAATATCTTATGGCTTGTTACTGTTATGGCTTGATAGTGTCTATTTGTATATTGTACATGGTGTTTTGATAAAATGGACACCTCTGCGGCTGAATAGTGAAGCTAAGGTGAAGTGCCAAAAACTGCAGTTCCTCTAATGTCCACTTGAGGCTGGCTCCAAAAGAGAATCAATCGCCATAGAACCCCATGTTAAAACCCCAACTTTACAGCAGAAGTTAACATGTTTACAACATTATACAAAAACAGTTTTGGCCTCTATAGCTAATTTCACTGTTCATGACAACTGCACAGGGGTGAATTTTCCTATAACTCACCTGTTTAAATGTTATTAAGGTTTACTGTTATGCATAATTAAGGGCAGGGTGGGTGCCATCTGTTGACAGGCTGCTACCACAGCGACAATGTTGGTTAGGTGACATAACCATGGTGTGACCCCAGATTCACAGAGTTAAGGCGTAGCTGTAGCTGTCACCATTTCAGTGTGTTTTCAGTTCATGAAAGTTAACTGTAACATGTTAGTTGCCTAAAAAATGTGGTTCAAAGGAGTCAAATGTAATTTTTTTCTGGTAAGTACACTTTGTTTTAATGTTTTTTTTTCCTAGTTTTTTCCTAGAAAATTAGCATTAGCATAATCACAGTTAACCATAGACTGTAATGCACCATGCTAACCAAGCGAGCCGCTAATGTTAGGGTTAGCTCCACCCTCTTGTCCAAATATGGTCACTTCAGGCTCCAAAAATCCAAGATGGCCATGGCTAAAATTGTATATTTTACATAGTTATTGGGACACTTGAATAGAATGACAATGTGTCCTGATCCTAACTCCCACCTAGGGCCGTCCCATTGAAAGTCAGAGATTCAAACTGAAAATAAACTATACCTTCCATCATGGTCAACAAAAGACGTAGTGCAGTATGCAAAATGTGCAGGTCAAAAATCCAAGATGGCGATGGCCATAATTGTATATTGTACATAGTGTTCTTTGAAAACTTTCTTTTCTTTTTTTCTTTAATTTCTTATAATTTTCTAAAACAGCATTCAGAGTGGAAGGCAAGGGAAGAATTTCATGGTACAAAGAAGCCAGTTTTCAACTGTGCATAATGATTGACACGTTTACCTTAACCATGTCTAAATAGGAGCCATTTTAACCCTGTTTTTCAGTCGTTTGTGTCAGTGTAAAGTGTTCACTCATTTTTTGGCTCTCTTTTGGTCTCCACCAACTCCTATGGGCAATATCTGGGTCTTTAGCAGCTAAATGCTCCATCATGTTTACCAGCTAGTTGTAACTTTGTCTTTCTGCCATTTGTTGCTGGGGAGGTAGCGTACAGTTGGCTTATTCAAACATTTTTGTTGAAAGCAGCTGTCGGCTGAAAATTGTGTGAGGACAGCGTGATTGGAGAGCCAAAACAATGGTAACAAACAGGCTAAAAAACTACGTATAGAGTACCCCTGCACAGAGCCGGGTTGGGGGATAATTATTTTGCATAACACATTGTCACAGATCAATTGTTTATCAGTGGTGAAAAGTACATTTAGTCAAGTAGAATAAAATACTTAAGTACAATTTTGAGGTACTTTTTAGTTCACCAAATGTATATTTGTAAATTATAAGCTTTAGTTACTTTGAAGATTTAGATTATTAATATAAAAATAAACAAATTATGATATATATTATAGATAACGCTACACAGCAGTACACAAAGTAGCTAAAATGAGTTTTACCTTTACCAGCTGTAACATTAAAGTGATAATGCATCAATAATTATAATCCAAAATTATAATATAAATTATTCTGAAATGGGCCACTCTACGTAATGAGTACTTTTACTTTTGGTACTTTAAGTATATTTTAATACTAATACTTTTGTACTTTTACTTAAGGTTTTGTATGCAGGACTTGTACTTGTAGTGGAGTGTTTTCACAGTGTGATATTCATACTTTTACTTAACCTCTGAGCCAGGATAGTCTGTACACAGTTTTCAACATCTGTTAGCAGCTAACAGTGCTAACTCAATTAAGTGTGCTTACAATGTCAACAGTGCTGTCAGCGCTAACATTATTAACTTGGTGGGAAACCAGAGGGTGGATGCGATGCTTCCATGACAGTGCTGTCCTGCTATCAGCAGTAACTGCTGCATGAGCACAGTGCGGAGCGGCAGCGATGAGCTAGCCAGTGGGATACACACACAGGGGCTCACATGCACTAACATGTGTGCGCTGCCAGACTGCCTACCACAACAATTAACAGAGAAGCTCAGATTACTACACACACAGAGGGAGTGTGCTACAACAATGCTATGAATGTTGTATACACAAAATTAAAGTAAAACATCTGAATACTTGCTTCGCTAATACAAAATCATTGACTAATGTGTCTTAATAGTGGTTTTCATATCTGAGTAAATATATATTGTGTTTTCGTTTTCAACTCTCTCCAGATGTGTTCGGTGCTGTCCATTGATTACATTCTTTACAGTACAAATGGCCCCTAGCTAGCAAGGTAGCCATAAAATAGTCTTCTAGTGCTTCCGTCTGTCACATGATCCTCACTTTGCACATCATAGGCCCCTTGAGAGTCTCCGAAGAAGGTACAGGATGTCTAGGAAGCTGTCTTGGACAAAGGTTGACACAAGTGGTGGGGCAGACAGGGAGCTGGACACACTGTGTTTGGACTGACCGTTGGCATGTGATCAGTGTTTTGTGCGTATGCGAGGTAAAGACACAGAAAAGCAGAGCCATGAAGTGAGTAATGATGAACACATAAGGAGGAGCTCTGAGAAAGAGGTGAGAGAAGTGGTGACAGAGAGCATGCTGTTCTACAACACAAACTGGGCCGGAGCCTTTACTGCCCCACTTATACTGAGGAATGGCGCTCTTCATCTTACCATGGGTGGGGGTCTTGTCCCGCCGGCGAACCCCCGTATTGCGGCCCCTGTCATAGTCAGGCCCTGGGGGTCCGTCTCCCTCCAGCAGGGAGAAGTACTGACCACTGTCCTGGTCCAGGTAGTAGCTGACTGCCTCTGAACCTTTGGAGCCAGATTGGGAGCTCACGCTGTAGCGGCTGATGTCGTCACATGACATCAGACCCAGCTCCTCCCTTGAGAGGGCAGAGTTGTCATCATCACATCATCACTGTCATCATCAGCAGGATCATAACAATAAATATAATTGCCATCATCAAACATCTGTGTGTGCTGACCTGGTGCTGTAGAGTCCAGAGACAGGTGAGAGGATATAGACGTCCTGCATGCTGGGGGCGTCCATTTTGGACATGCCCAAAGTTCCACCGGGTGTAGGTGAGGTGCTGGTGGGGCTGGTGGGGACCGGCTGAGGGGAGAAAGACGACAGGAAGAAGGAGAGAGTGACTCGCACCTTTTCATTGAGTTATAATTGAAGGACGGTGAGGGGATCTGGGAGCACAACTTCCTGAAAGTGAGCATCAGATCTTTCCCTGCCTCACAGAAAAACAAACAAGCACACAGTTTACGGTGTTATGAGGAGAAGGGAGCCTTTTATTTGTGTTATCTTCCTTGTACTGCAGCCCGCACTCGTTTTAACACTGAATCACAAACACAAGAGAGTTATTTCCACACAGCTGCCATGTTGTGTATGTTGTCTTTTTTTGTATCTGTCTGACTGTGCAGCCTCTCCCACGTTCAATCACTTCACTATTCTGTCATTTTGTCTCAAGCCTCTTCACTCACACAGGCCTCTCCATGTCTGTTCCCATGACAACCCTCTCCTCTCCTCTCCTCTCCTCTCCTCTCCTCTCCCGTGCTACAAGAAGAGGAGAGGACAGAGGAAAGCTAGCGTGGCCTCCTCCTCAGCTTGACTCAAGGACATGTAGATTCATTTGTCATCAGGTCCTCTGTGAGAACAGCGTGCCTCGCTTCTGACGGAAACCCAGTCCAAATTTCAAGTGAATTATATTTGTCCTCAGCCGAAACAGCTGGGTGACAAATATGCACCTCGTGCCGACAATTACTCCCCAAGGACGAGGTTTCCAGATTTTGTAAAAACAGGGTGTTTTACTGTACGTCTGAGGAGAACGCTCCGTTTTAGAGAGGAGACGGGAGTGTGGACAGAATGGATAAACAGACAGAGAGCCCGAGCGACGGCGAGGCAGGCAGCGTTCTCATTAAGGAAGACCAGTGTTTCATCATTTCATCAGCAGTGCATTAGGCAAATTCATTTCATATTCCAAACTTTCCATCCTCCCTCCTCCTCAGCACCCTCACTACCTCCATCCCCAGGCCCTGTCTCTATCTTCATCTCTTTCTCTTGCTCACAGTCTTCCTCTTATGAAGGCAGCTTACAGTAAGACGGCTTCACAATAAATAATGAAGACGGGGAGAAAAGAGAGGGAAAGCGAAAGAGGGGAGAGAGTAAAGGAAATAGGACAAAGAGAGAGAGACAGAGAGAAAAAGTGCAGGAGAGAGGGAGAGAGGGAGCGAGGCGGGGGAGCTGTGCAGTGTGGTGACTGGAGCTGAGAGTGAAAACAGTAATTTAGTGATTACAGCCCACTGCTGCCTGCATGGAATAAAGGGGGAGGGGGGAGTGGGGGTGGAAGTAGAGAGAGATGGGACCTCCACAGCAGGCGAAATACCAGTCTGTTAAAACAGCACTTAAACCATCTGACCCCTGCTGCGTCCACTTGAAACTACTACCACTACCAAAAAATCTGCTGCTCAAATCCTCTCCAGACCAATGTTTCCGATACAAACACCTTCACATGCACACACACACACACACACACACACACACTTCTACGCTTAACATAATATTATGACTATTTAAGGGACTTAAAGGTTCAAGAACAGTACGAATAAAAGTTTACAATAGTGCTGCATGATAAACTGATTTTAAAGATGCCTGACAAAGATATCAATATGTGCTAGTGAAACAAATTATATAATTATATCCCTACCCTTTCTTATATTTTTATAGGTTCAAACAAAACAATCATTTTGGATAGAGATACCTTAAATGTGGTTATAAAAGAATTGTAACTAGGATGTGTCCTAAGTGGGAAATTTACACTTGAAAAATGCACGGATGCATCAGGACACAGCATGCAGGTGACGTCAGGACTTTATAAAAAGGTAGCAACCAGGGGCCAGACTGTAAGCAGCACGCAGCCAAGAGGAAGCTTTGAAAATCACGGACATAGTGCAGAATAAATACAAATATAGCGAGGTGAAACGCCAAGCGGACAAAGCTGGGGTTAGCATTCACTTTCCCTTCCACTTTCACTCCCACTGTTAACAAACAGTGTCCGACCATTCCTGCATAGTATACTCTTAACACAAGCTAATATATTAAACATAACATAATATGCCGTTAACATTAGCCCAGCTTATTCAGTGAGTCTCATCTGAATCCCATACAATTAAATTGAAAAATGCTTCAACAACCACTGATATCTAAACAGATGTTTAGTCTGGTCCAAAAGTTCATAACAATAAATCCAGTCATGTGTGTAAAAAAAATAAGCCTGCATGGGAAAAAAATTGTATTAAAGGAACAGTTTGACATGTTGGGAAATACACTTATTTTACTTTTCTTGCCTAGAGTCAGTTGTCAAGATTGATACCACTCCAACTTTTGTCAGAGTTTATCAGAGTCACCTCTAAAGCTCACGTAAGAACAAGTTACATCTCATTTGTTTAATCCATCCGAAAACTCTGTAGTGTAAAAACAGGTTTTATGGGGGTTATGTGCCGGACTGTTCCTTGGCTGGGAGCAGTGACTCCTGGGACCAGTTGCACCAACGGGGCTTATGCCTGGTCTTGTGGTTCTAAATCTGACCTAATAGTTAACACTGGTTGCACCATTTACTCGTATGCGTCCCTTTTGCTAGAACTGGGCGTAAATCTTACGCCTACTGTAGTCAGGAGGTAGCCTGGTAAGACCATCCTGAAGACATGAGCTCAACATTCTGTTTCGCTTTCGGTATCAGTCTGGACTCGGCACTGCCCTAAACACTTTCTACAAATTAAAATCCAATCCGGGTCAATCAGGCATCTCCATAGTTGATGCCGCATAGATGAACAGTAATGGCAGCTCCCGAAACAACAGGTGCTAACTCTGATGTTAGCAGAGTAAACATAGCAATAAGTGAAGTTATTGCAGAAATAGAGTCAATAACAACAATTAAACAAGAACAATAGCATGGAAAAGACGTTTTCATCATTCTTCCGACTGGATTAGGCAAAAGCTTGGTTTATCAACTGGCTCCACTGGTGATAAAGAAGACGTTCACCAGTGTTTGTTATTTTGATTGGCTGAAGGAGTTTGTCTGTCAAGGTGAGTATTTATTTTTCTCTCCATCAGGCTCAGGAGGTCTTTCCTTGAACTTAATTTTCTGACTAAAGGCTGCCCGAGTGGGAACAATAATTTATCGCCTCCTTTTCTCTCTCCAAGTTGATGACTTATTCTACTGCTTGGTAGTCAACATGTTCTCCTGCTGGCTGACATTTTCTTTTTTTTTCTACAATCCTATATAATAACTTTGCAGCAAATTGTAAATGCTGCACGTTAGCAAGACAGCCGGAGATTTTTAACAATGTTTTCTAGCAATGCACACTGCTGGGCAATAACCGTAGTCGTATGGGCATCCACTTAACCATGCATTACTAAGTTCAGGCATAGTTAAGACTAGCCTTAAGTTTTGTTGGTGCAACCTATGGTCAGCTTTAAAGACTGATCTTAACAAAGACTGACGTAACAGTTGGGTAAGTAGAGACCAGTTGGAGCAACCTTCTACTGGAGTCTTGTTGTCATTGTGAGGCTGCCAGGCAACCAGAGCTGTTTCAAGTAGACTCGGTAGTAGTATCTATTTACTCAATAGGTCTGGGCAGTATGGAGAAAATCAAATTTCACAAGGTTTTCATCAAATACCTCAATATTTATATTACAACATTATTGTAGGGTTGACTATTGGTGCTTTCACAAGATATTTACACAATGAGATTTTTGATCAATAATCATCTGTAATATGGATATAATGACTAAGTGGGTAAAGGTAAGTAATAGAACAGCTAAAACAGTTCAGAAATGACATCACGTTACTGTAATACCGCCTTTAAAACCAGGAAAAGACAACACTTAGGACATTACGATATCCAGAATCTAAGACGATATCTAGTCTCTTAGCACAATGTTGATCTGATCCATATATTACCATTACCCTTCACTCAACTTGAAAGCTAGAATGCGTATTCTCCATGTTTTTAAGCTAGTACTAGTCACTATTGCTTAGCTTCAAAGTCCATTCATAGACAGACAATGTCACCATAAGGTCCATTAAACAGCTGTTCGCCAGTTTTTCAATCAAATCACTCAGTCTTTATCAGCATATGGAGGTGTAACTGTAGATGTTCAAATTTCTATTTATGTCTGAGCTCTTTAAGGACTTCTTATCCATGTCAGTTTAAAAGTTGAGCCTCAAACTCCATCTGCTGATGGAGATCGTGGGGTCTGATCTGCTGGAGAACTAAATGGACCCATAGGTGAGATTGTTTTTTTCTAACAATTATCATTACATTTACTCGTATGAGGTAATTTATCATGATAAAGATTTAAAATAAAAGGATGGCAAAGATTTTAAATTGCATTAGGCGTCACAAAAGTAGACCAACAGACCAAAGAAGCTGTAACCCCTCATTCATTCAGCTGGCCCATCAATAATACATAACCAGCCGATACGTGTTGCCTAAAATAGCATGCATTTCCAAAGAGTAATTATTTATGTATCTAAACATATAACATATTTATGAAAGTGAGGTCACAGACAATATGTGACACACATACACGTGCGACCTGTGATGTGGACGCTGATGTGGCCTTTAGTCACACGTGAAATGACTCGGTACATGCATGTTTTGCAGAAGCAGCAGACACAGTAATCCTCAACGTATTTGTCAAAATCATTGCCAGCATCACTGTAATTACAGTGGATCATTAAATTGCTTTTACTCCATCCTGCCGTAGACGCAAACACACACACACATACACACACACAAAGAGAGGGAGAGAGAGAAATGTGCCATTATTTAGCAGAATAAAGAAGGTTGCCATGGAGGGATTTGGGGCTGGAATCACATGATAATTTGCAGAGATAAATTGTTTCCTTTGTGGATTCAGTTATAATCCAACTGAACATTTGCCACATTTGGGCTAAACTTCACAGCCGTACGATTCATCCACTAAAACCGGGCTTAGAGGTATGAGTGTGCATGTGTTTGTACTTGTGTTTGTTTTGGAGTGAGTGTATGTACAGTATGTATCCAAAACTGAGCTTACAGAGTGCAGTGACCCAGTTCCTTCGCCTCTCAAAGGAGCAGCGCGACTGATAACAGAAAACATCTCTCTGCATGCGTGCGCAGACATGCAAAGAAACACACTTGCTTTGACACACAGACAGATGGACAAGTGTGCATACGGCCATGCTTAGAAATGTGTGCACACTCCCACCCAGTACACACATACAGGCTGTTTAGCAGGATATTTTGGATTCAGTGCATTATCTCCAGTATTTGCTGAGTAGCGGCTCTTGTTTCAGAGCCAGTGGAGCTGCCTGTAGTTGCTTATGAATAATTAAGAGCTCCAGTGTTTCTGAGAGAGAACAAATCTAAAACACTCCTTTCTTCTCTTCTCCCACAGATATCTCTAGTGCTCTGATCTGGGCGCTCACGGCACGTTTGTGTCTTAGCAGCCCATCAGGGTAGAATTCCCACAATCCTCTGCTGTTGTTCGCAGCAAATATAACAATAAGCTCATGGTAACAACTTAGAGCGATGATCTAACAAGGCAGCAACCCTGTTAGAGACAGAGATGGTGATGAAGTTGCAGCAGGCTCTGTGGTTATTACAGGGTGTTAATGGTTTCTGGGCAATTATGGAAAACACGAAACACTGACTGAACGTGTAAGACTCTCATGAGAACATACGCTCACATGTGCTGTGGGTTATGCTCACAGACATGCAGAACAAGACTTCACAGAGCACTCAGGCAGCGTCAGATCAGCCCTCGTCTTACCCCTCTGTCCGTCTCAGCACAACTTGCTCTTTCTGTGCACCAAAATTTGAGTGACTTTTCCAGGCTCTGACTGAGTGACGGACTGACAAAGTATTTGCCCTGAAGTGAAATGTGTACACCCACTCCAAGCTGTAAGCCTTCAAACAAGCATTCCACCTTTTAGATCTACTGTACATTAAAAATGTACCTCTCTTTCGAAAAAGGAGTCGTCCTTGGGGACAAAGGTTGAATAAATCAGGACCATAGTCTCAGTAAATATGAATATGAATGTGAGTGGGAGTGTGGACAGACCTTTTGGTGACCTTTTTTTGCCCTGCACTTGCTCCTAAGCAGAAGGTTCAGCCCATATTATACCATTTAAATCATTTACACAACTACAAAGTGCAAATATAAGATTTAATTAGCTATTTTTCCCCTTCACTATCTTAATTTATCTTCATCTAAAAAAAAAATCCTTTTGGTATGCATAACTTCTCTTCAGATGGAGGTTTAGCTGCCGACACATTTGTGAATGGCTTTGAACTGTGCCAGCAGTACGGCAGGCTGCAAAAAAAAAGAAAAAAAAAAAAAAAGAAGAGAGATTTGTTGAAATGCTCAACAGGAGGATTGATGCAAGGTCACACAGCGAACAAGTTTCCTTTGAAAATATTTGTTTAAAATGCCAGTAGGAAAATGCAGAGTGTGGGCAGTAAAAACAAGAGCTGAGAGTGAGTCAAAGATAAAGCCAGAGGTACAACACATGCTTACTGTACACACAGTGCTAAATCATCCTGCCTCAAATCCCTAACTGTAAGTACAAGAAGTGTGCAGATATACATGACTGTTTGGAAGAGGGGACATATTTCAGTTCAAATTTCAACACAGAGTTTTTAGAGCAGCATGTCATTGAGTCCGTTAAGCACTTTTCAGGTCATGATGTAGCTTGTTATAATACTGCACTTAAAGGGTAAGTTCAGTATTCTTCAACCTGGATCCTATTTTCCCGTGTTCTTGTATCTAAATGACTAATTGGAACAACAACTTTTAAAATTGGTCCAGTATTGAGCAAGAGCGCTGCAGCCTGCACATGCAAAACAGGCTGCAATATAACCACTTGGCGCATGTTCTGTCAGTTTACCTCCCCTACAAGTGCCACTGACAGACTCACATTATTATATCAAGTGTCTGATAACTTATGGAAAGGATCCCTACAGAGACAGACCTTTTGTTAAGGAGTAAGATCCTTTTTGCTTCATTAGAACAAGCCCTGAAATGACCATCGTCAAACCCGCCAGACTACACAAAAACCATCCTGGTTCGTCTTTCCACTGTTTCAACAATCACAACAAACTCTGGTTTGTTTGAAATTTATCCTTGAATCACCCAGTTAGATATGAAAATATGCCGGCTTTACATATGCTAAAATTACTGTGTCTTTAAGTGGAGTCTGGTGAGGTTGGTGATATTAGGGCTGTTTCTGTTTGAAGCAAAAGGATCTTACTCTTTAATAAAAAGGTCTACCTCTGTAGGGTTCATTTCCATAATGTTGCCAGACACTTAGAATAACAATCTGAGCCTTTAAGTGGCAAATACAAGCACCTTTAGTAGACGTACATCCATGGTGCTTAATTGCCCTGAGTGGTTACAGTGCAGCCTGTTTTGCATGTGCCAGCTGCAGCACTCCCGCTCAATACCGCACCACTTTAAAAAATCATTGTTTCAATTAGTCACTGAGACACAAGAAAATGAGAAGATAGGATCAAGGTTGAAAAATATCAAACTTAGCCTTTAAGTCGACCATGTGTCGCTGGTATTTACCTGCAGGCCCAGTGGTTTCCAGCGCACGTTCCTGAGCAGAGCCGGCGTTGAGCTCAGGGTGTTCTGGGGCCTTTTCTTCAGTGTGAGGATGACTCCGCATGGGTCCTCTCTCAGAGCGTTGACCAGGTTCTTCAGCTGCCAGCCCACCTGAGGAGTACACACACCGGGCTACCGAAACAACTGCTGCAAACCACACACACATGCTGTACACGCAACCAAATCTGCTGAGGAAAAACCACCACGCACAAATATTAGGTTTCATAAACTAACTAAACTAAACCACCACACGCGGACCCTGATACTACCTGCCTCGGACACCACATGCTACCAGTCTTTATTGATTTATTTTATTAGACTGGGACAGTAGAGAAATGACAGGAAAGAAGGCAGACAGAGATCCAACAAAGGTCTAACCGGAGACATTGCAGTCCATGGTCAGTGTCTTGACCTCTATACCTCAAGGGAGCCCCCACATGTTATCATTTACAACGACCAAGTACAATGACCATATAAACCATTTTACTGTATATCATTTACATAATATTTTGAGGACTGTCTGTTCTTCTGTCAGTTTTGGTATAAGGGTCATTAGATGCCATATTCACCAAATCTGGAACATAAACCATCTGAATGATATGTTTTTTATTGTAGCTGTACCGAATGTCTTTTTCTCTTAAATTAAAACTTATTTGACATCATCACCCAAAAAAATAAATCCTCAAACAAAATCCTTAATGTGAATTAAGTGATTAATGAAATTAAATGAGTTAGTCTTTTTTATTATTTTATTATTTATTTATTCATTAAATCAACTTTCTTTAATGAATAAATGTAACTTATGGTGTTGTTAGATTGCCATGAGACTGTGTTTTGGTAAAGGTGTGTGCCTTTCTGTGTGTGCGGCAAGCCGGAGAGCAAACAGTGATTTGACCGTAGTGAAAATGTTGTTTTTAAAAGGCTAAACGCCAACAAATATGGATAAAAGAAGAAGTATTTGTTAATTAAAATCATGTTGTGAAATTTGGAAATGAATACATCTGTCTTTTTCAATTAATTTTGACTTTTGGACTTTACAGCGCTCTTGTGTTTTGCAAAATGTTTGGATCACTTGAGTCGGAAACAATCCTACGCAGCCATCACTGGAATCTAATGCTACAAATATTAATTCTAATACGTTGTAATATTAGTGTACCCTAATCTTAGTCTGCAACTGTGCAGAAATATGGAGTTTAAACAGAATGAAAAAAATAATAAAAAGCTTAGCAGCATTAAATTGTTGATTTAGAACAGAAATGTTAACATTATAAAAGAAGCTTCAAAGCTTCAGACTATTCAGTACAGCCCTAATTTTTATGCCATTTCTCTAAAATTGGTCGAGATATTTTTTTAAATGTAGCCTATATGACATACTATGAGGTGCCAAATTATTAGGCACCCTTGGCTAAAATGAGTGCAGTCTAATACAAGAGTCCTGTAACCTGCATCAAGATTATGATGTTCATTTTTTGTTGAAACTGTTTAAGAGAAGTACGGATTCAACTTACATGATCATTTCGGAGGCTGTAGCTTGTGGTGCTGTTGAACTGTAACGTGTTATAATGAGGAGTGTTTCTAGTATTTAGTCTAGCCTCACTGATATAATTGTGATCAACACAATATTAAACAAACTTCTCAGTAACACAATAAATTTCAAGCATAGGCCTGCGATATTTGATTACACAGCAACATTATGGGCTACTTTTAAATAGCTATAACTTAGATGTCATGAGTCTGGCTTACTTGAAACTTTACACAATTGGTCCCTTTTAAAGCTCTAATATTCCCAGAATTGATTTAGGTCACGTCCAAAAGTTATGGCTGCCGTCTGTAAATTTGCAGAATTGATCCATCCTAAATCCTGTCCCTTTTCGCTCTGTGTTCAAATAACAGTTGAGCAAACTTGGAACACAACAGAACCTCAGTTAACTGTCCCCTTTCCTTCAATACTTAGATATGTTATGTGCTAGACTCATCTATGCAGAAAATAAAACCAAATTTTGAAGATGGTTAAGGATGTGGCTGGGGGACCTGTAAAAGTTACACTCAATACCCTAACCATATTGTTATTATCCTATTCCCAAAACTGAAAACAATTGTTGTCCAATGTAAGGAGTGGATCAGGCTGTGCAGTAGACCTCGCAGTCAGCTGAACATCAACACTATCACCAAGGACACCTACGTCTATTCAAAGGTATAACTATATAAAGTTATATTTGTGTCACAATCCTCATGGACACATTACATTGTATAAAGTCACATCTTAAGCCCCGTTTTTACCAAAAACTACCTTTACCTGTACCTTTAGAACCAAAAGTAACCCCTACAGACATGTACCCAGACTCTAAATCTGTTTGGCATTTCCTCCAGAGACAGTACTCTAAAATGTAGCGCAGTCGTTGTCTATCACAGCTCTGTCCAGCTTTTGCTGTATGTCCTCTTCCCCAGTGATACAGAGGAACGTCTGCACCTTGTATTTGTCCACAGAACAGAGTTGGCACACTGACGTTTTCAGAACAACAAAGAACCGGCTGGAGTGAGAGTCTCTCTCAATGGGATATTTAAAAATAACGGGTTTGTTCATTGAGTCCCCGTCAGGCCAGAGCAGGGGTTTAGAACTGCCAGATGATGCTCCGCCATGTTTTTTCTCTAAATAAGGATTGTAATATATGCCAGTTGAAATACATACACATTTTTTAAACGCTTAAAGATCCAAGCATGTGTCATCCTAGAGAAATAATAAAATGGTCAAAGCTGTCATAATGAAACTTAAGGTGTGCTGATGGATTCACATCATCAGCTCATGCATTGAGTAACATTACAAGTAACTGTTTCACCTTTGTAAAACGCCCAGATCAGTTGTTGGTATCTGCTGGCACTGGGCAGTGAATTCAATTGTTTTTTCCTCAGTCCATAGCTGCTGCTAGAGGCTGCAAAATGTCTTTTAATTGCATAGTTATAGTCTACTAATGTATGAAAAAACCAGCCACAACTCAGCCCTGAGCAAGAGTGATGGTTCTCTTTTGACAAATAAACGGACTGCAGTATTTCTAGCTCCACCTTTTAGTATCAGACCACTGTGCTAGGTACCCCAACAAAGGGTTTATGAAAAATGAGAAAACCAAAAAATAACCATTCTAATGTGCACCAAATGGAACTGACAAGACTTTAGGTTAGCTACTGTTAGCTAGCTAACTACTTAGCAAACGTAATTGTGGCTACATTTAGAGGAGTTAGCTAACGTCAAATCACCAGCGTCAGCCAGGTTTGCTTTCTCCTTATTTCTGTGGTACCATTAAATAGATTTGGAAAAGGGTAGATAGACTGAGTTGCTGACATATTTTTAAGTGATATGAAGTATCTTAAGCCAGAAAAAATAAAGGCTAACATTTTATTTTATCTCTGTAACACTACTTGCCAAAGTAACTTTTGGAGCTCTTTATTTAGATATACAGTACATGACACTATCGTGAATATATCCTTCCATCACTTACTGTAGTCCTTGCTGTCGGCTTCTTGAAGTTATTTTGCCTGACACCCAGAGACTATCTGGCACATGGCTAATCAAAACTGGTGTTGCCATATTTCTTTTTGTCAAGCTTGTCCATCCTAGCAACAGTAACTAAGGGGAGCAGGACTTTGGATCATTATGTATATTTTCTATTAACATATTTTTCCCAATTATTCATTTTTTTCAGTGTTTCTCAGTTTAGCAGTTTTAAATAATGACAGAAAAATACTTGGGATCCAAGGATCAAGGCAAAAATAAATATCACAACATGTATTTTGATGTAGATTTGGATCCACGTGGAGATTTTAAAAACTCTCAGCATCACTAACAGGTTTAGAGGCTTGCACAGCTTGTCAGTAGTGTACGTTCTTTGAGTGTTTTCTAGTTATAATGTGTTTCTTGTGATATCCAGGCATGATAAAACTATTGCACCTCAGACATGCTGATTTTGTACCCTCTGTACTTAACATTTACTACAGCCTCACCAAACCACTCATTACACTTTGTGGCTACCAGAACAACCAGGCACTACCACTATCCACCACGCTGTCCCACTATACCACTGATCTGAAAACATAATAAAATAAAAGCTGTCTCAGTCAGTGTGGTTTATGTCTAAGGAAGAGAGAGAGATGCTGAAAGAGTAAGAGAGGAGTGCTGACTGCAGTGTTTCCTCGTGGTTCCGGCCAGCCTGTCTCCAGAGCTCGCAGCACTCGTCAGGCCATTGATTGGCTACACTGGTCTCAGCTACTGGAAGTGTCCGCAGAGGGCACCACACTCACACACACAACTTCTTTGACCTTATTCCTGACATAATGATGACCGTCTGTGTCAGCCTTGAGCAGCACATTTCCTGTTCTCTTTGGCACAGTTCACAACTTCCGGGTTCAACCAGCGTTCACCAGCAACAAGAATTATAATGGCAGTGATTTACTACTGTATATTTTGTCCTGTTCAGCCCACTAAAATAAAAGAAGGTATACTAGAACAAACCAGGACTGTAATCATTCATGTGTTATCTGATTTATAAATTGTTCAACCATAACTAGTGACAGAAATAGGGCTAGTTATCAAACCAAACATACTGAAGGAATTGTGTCCATGTATCAAAAACCTTCACGTACCAAAAGCTTTGAAAGTCTTTGAATACTCTCTGGTCAGATTGTGATCGTGATTGAAGTCACAGCTTTGGTAGTTTGAGGCAAAGTTTTTGAGTGGCTGTTTGTGTTCAGACAACATTTACCATTTGAGCACTTTGGCATCTTTTATCAAAGGAATAGTCTGACATTTTGCTTCATTATGCTCATTTGATTTCTTGCTGAGAGGCAGATGAAAAGATCGATTCCACTCTCATATCTGTCTCTTTAAGATGAAGCTACAGCCAGGCAATGGTTGGCTTGGCACAAAGTCTGAAAGCAGGGGGGGAACAGGTAGCCTAGGTCTGTCCACAGTTAAAAAAACAATCTGCCTATATGCAGCGCCTCTAAAGCTCACTAATTAACACATTTTTTATTGTTTTAATATTGAGTGTTTCCAAGTGGGATTATTGTTGTGGCCGCTGTAGCTAAGACAACACTGACACATTACATTTTACAGTTAGCTACTTCGCTGTTAGGAAGTTTTAATTTGTTGTTCCACCATCCACCATTTCCACTTCTCGGTATGGCAAGCTCTGTAAACAGATACCTGCATATCATGCAGAATTTGTAGGAAATGGCACAAGATTTTGGTATTGGAGTAGTAGTAGTTACTGACCAATCACGTTTTAGCAGTAGATGAACAGTTCATGTGTCCAATAATTGGAAGAAATGCAATCCTAGAGCCCATTCACTATTGTCCGATGACAATTTACCTTTATATTAGCTTTTTTATATTTATCTGAGATTAACCCAAATGACTGGCACATGGAGGAGGAAATCTTTTGGCCCAGGTAGCCGCTGGCTACATCTGATCTCCTGAAATACTGGCTGTTGCCGCCAGAGACGTGTCATCATCAGAGCAATAGCTGATGGATTCCAAGATTGTGGTGACAATAACAGCAAAGAACTTACACTGATACTCTTTAGCCCTGTTTCCACCAAGCAGTATGGTTCAGTTCAGTTCAGTTCAGTTCCACTGTGAAAAAGTTGTGGATGGTACCAATGGAGCTGTTCTGTACAGTCCCTATTTTTGGTCACCCTTCTGTTGGGGTACCTAGCACACAGATCTGGTACTAAAAGGTGAAGCTGTGAACACTGCAGTCTGTTGATTGGTCAATAGCGGACGGTCACTCTGCTCAGGGCTGAGTTGTGGCTGGTTTTGAGGCTCATGTAACCACTGTTCATACCGTGGAGAGTTTTAATAGTAGACTGTAACTATAAAAATAAAAGATGTTTTGCTGCCTCTTGCAGCAGCTGGAGTCTGAGAAAAAATAACTTAATTCACTGGGCCGACCGCCGGCGACATTTGAGGTAGAACGTTAACTTGTAATGTGACTCAGTGTACGAGTTGAAGACGTGAATTAATCAACACACCTTAAATTTCACGTTAACAACTTTGACCATTACTTCAGTTTTAAATGACATACACATTTAGTAATGAGTGGATTTTCAAATAGTTATATAAATTAATTTCAACAGGGTTATGTGAACTGCATATATCTTAATCCTCACTCGGAGAAAAAAAAAAAAGCATCACAGAGTGCCGTTCCTGTGGGCTATGGCAACACTAACCCCCTGAGCTTGCTTTAGAAGGACTAAATGCACAAACCCGCTATTTTTAAATATCTCATGGAGAGAGACTCACTGCAGCCTGTTCTATTTTGTTCTGAAAATGTCAGCGTGCAACCTCATTCTGTGGACGATAAACGAGGTGCAGACAGATAAAAGAGGAAATACAGTGAGTGCTGGACGGAGCAGTGAGTGACAACAAACCCCGCCCACATTACTACTGTTTGTGGTGGAAACGCTAAACAGACCTAGGGTGTAGGTACCATGTCTGAAGGGTTACTTCACATTCCAGAGGTACCATACCGAAAGTGATTGGTGTAAACGGGACTTTTGGTAACTGGGGATAGCTACCATTAGCTACTGGGGAAAACAAAGCGCTATCTTCTTCCTGTTTTGGTTGATGCACTTCCTTTGTGACATAAATCAAGCCTTCATTTTTGCGGGAAATCGTATCCAGTGGCAGAATTGCATAGTAAAAGGGAGGTTCATAGGGAACCAGTCTAAATTCCGCTGATGTCATTATTTTAAAGCTGTTACATTGTGCAATCAACATTTACTTTCTAATGTTAATTTAAAGCACTGGTTCTTAACTGGTCCAGCCATGGAGTCCAGATTCCTCCTTAGTCATTACTTCAAAGTCCACACATTTTAATACATTGAGGGTTATACTTGCGTTTGGGCTTGTTGCTGTCTCTGTCAAATAGTTGTTCATTAGTTACTCACACTACAGCAGGAAACAGCACTTCAAAATAAAAGCTCTGTGCTGGAAATTCACTTCAAAATAAGGTGACTTCACATTTGCGAGTCACTTATGGTCCATTCAGAAAAGACCTGCAACGGACCAGTTGGGAATTACTGATACAAAGCAAAAAAAATATGTCTATTGCCATTTTAAGTTTAGCTGTGTCCCCCTGCTTCCAGTCTCTGTGCTAGGATAAGCTAGCCCTCTTCTGGCTATAGCTTCATATTGAGCAAAGACATAAGAAAGTGACATCAGTGGCCTCAGACTGAGAGTGAATAAGTGTTTCCCCAAAATGTCGACCTATTCCTTTAATGACAGAAGCCAGAGTTCTCATCGGCAATTGTATCGTACATTTTCAAACAATGCCCAGCCTTAGACAGAGAATTTATTGGCCTCTGAAGGAGTTGGACATTTTCATGCCAAAGGCTAATCATGCCAAAGGCTAATCCTAAATTCACTGACTTGAACCTCATGCTAAACCCTTGTTAGCTCCACCACTATGGCTGCACAGCACAGTGTATGTTAACAGCAAACACAAAGCCTGTCCTAACCAGGCCAGTTTAGATCTCTTCTGTTATGCAAATACACAGAGAGCAGAGGGAAACAGGGAGAGACCTACCAAAAATAATAATAGAGCATAAACTGCTGCTGGAGAGGGTTTTTTTTTTTTTTCAAATCCCCGGGGTCTTCATTATTTTCCCAGATGCTATTACCTCCACATAATTATGTTGCCTCTTCAAACAATCAGTTTGTTATTTGAGCAAATTCCACATTTTACCTCAAAAGAGAAGCTGAGCTAAAAACTGCAAGTCCTGTTTTGAAGTGGGTCTCAAACAGAAGCTCATGCATAGACATGAAAGCAGCTCTGTTGCTAAATACGTGGGATAGGCCTACATAATGATTCTATAATGTAATGGAATTTGTTCATTCAATATTCACACTAATCTAATTTTTAAATATGGAGCCTTGCTAGATAAACTTATCAGCCGTGATGTTGACAGAGAGTTTGCTGGTAGTGTGTATCCATCTTTTCTCCTCAGCAGCTCCATTTAGGATTAAAAAAATAGAGTTATCTTGACAAGAGACTTCCCTCTGCTGTTCTCCCCCTTTCTCTTTTCATCCACTTCCCCTTCTCCCTAAGTCCCTCTTTACTTCCTCCTCCCTTTTTCGCCTCACTCTCCCAGCTCTGCCTCATCCCAGCATCCCCTGACTACTTCAACCCCCTTTCCCCATCACACACACACACATGCACACACACATCTGTCTCCCCCTGCTTATCTCCTCCCCCAGAGTGAGGGATCAGAGTGGTGAGGGTCTAGCTAAGGGAGTAATGAGGGGTTGGAGCTGAGAGCCTGGCAGGGTGCGATCTGCACTGTCACCCCGAGGAGAGAGAGGGAGAGATAACACTCAGCCCCCCCTCATGCGTCAATCAACGCCGCTCCCCAGCGCCTGCATGCACGCTTTCGCATGAGCAGCACCTATCGAGACGTACGAGGAAATACGAGAAAAAAGCACACAAAAGACGTCTACACAAATACACAAACCTTTTTTCTCCCCTCCCCTCCCTCAGAAATCTCAAATAAACGCTGGAACAAATCGTTTGTGCCAGAGCTGACAGCACAGGCAATAGACAGCGCGCTCAATCACATGCTCTCACAAGGCACCGTTCCATTTAAAATGGCTGCCCATTTTTCGTGCTTCCCTCTGATGTGATGAGTTGAAGGAAGAAATACAACTTATTCAAGTCTGAAAGTGGAACACGAGTTCACATTTCAAAACCAGACGCCTCCTTCAGGGGTTTCTTACGACAATGGGAACAAATTCCGGAAAGAGTGAGCTGACAATCACGCTGGACTGAACAAAGGTCTTGTAACAATCGTCCTATAATCTGCTCCCGCAGCAAGTCTAATTAGCCTACATAACTGCACAGGCACAGGACAGGAAGCACCATGGCGGCAGTGGTGGTGTTGGTGGTGGTAGCAGACACCATGTACCTTGACATCTCCTCAACAGAGCACAGAATGGAGAACGAAAGACAGTTTGCAGTGTGGAAACACATGGAAAGTACATTTCCTGTGATGTGACTGTTGTGTTTGGAAGCTTTTTAACTCACCACTGTCTGGTGGTTGACTTGGATCACCTCATCTCCTGCATGGATCTTCTTGCACTGGTCTGCTGGAGACTACAGAGGCAGAGATTGGAGAAGAGAAAAGGACAATGGGGACAAATTCAGGATATATAAAGGCACATATTCAGTGACTACATTTACATGCACATTAACATTTCAACATTATTCTGAATATGACAATATTCTGAATTTGACATGGGTCATGCAAACAGCATATACTGTTTGGGTGTTCCTTTTTCTGAGTGTATTTTCAGATTCACACGTGGAATAATCCAATATTATTCTGGTTTTAGAAGCAATCTTTGGACATGCATGTAAAGCATTCAGAGTATGTGTGTGAATAGCCATTTTTAGTTTACGACACACAGCCTCTTGCCTGTTTACAGTCAGCTCTGTGCATTGTACACAAACCAGTTAGTCACCAGTTTGCAAGGCTGGGGTAAGAGACACGCGCCCAAACGAAAAGCCCACATTTCTGGTCAGAAGAACAAATATACCTGCTCTTAAATGTCATGAAAGATGGATATCATCATAGATATCAACAGGTTTTTGGATATGCCCAAATATTGCATTGCCGACCTTTTCAAGAAAGCTTTTGGAGGAATGAAAGAGGGAGGCTGTGTTGACACGGTCGACTAAGTCTACTACCAGTGGAAAAATCTTGTTTTGATGCATTAAACAAAATGGCACAAGTGGCTCCAGATGATCCACTTTTCCATATTTTGGCATGATAAAAGACATGTTAGGGCACATTATTCAGAGCTACACAGCTGCATGTAAATGAGAATATTAGTGGAATATATTTATTTTCATTCACAGCTTCACAGCTTAGTAGGAATATTTTCTTTTTTGGAATAAGGGCAAATAATGGAATATTTTGTGCATGTAGATGTAGTCAGTGTCATTGTGGAATTTGAGATGATGGATTGAGTGTCGAGCTTCCTACTGATGAAACTAAAACTCACATTCTCTGTTGTTCCGGTGATAACGTGGAGTCCATCATACGTCGATTTGATATACATCCCCTGAAACACAAGCACAGGGCAGAAGGATTCAGTATAATACAGAGTACACAAGGAAATACATGATATGTATAATTTACATCTGTGAATCTGTGTCTGTATCTGTATGTGCGTGGACCTGAAAGACAGACTTGAGATTTTAGTCAGATGTAGGTCACAAACTGAGGACTTAAGACTTTAAATGGACGAGTATGAGACCTGACTAACAGATGGATGACAAATTAAAGGGAAGACTGTGAAGGACGGGCATTTTAAGTAATTTCCATATTCGAGTACTCACATTAAATTATAATAGAATACTCAAGTACCCGCAAAGAAAAATCTAGCATAAGAAAACGGTCTGAGATCATGGGATTAGGGTTAGCCTACCTTTCTGTGCTGTTGATGTTACATAGATTGCACTGCACATTCATTTAGTTTATTGTGTTGAAATACTTCCAAACATCACTCTTATGCTTGGTCACTATTCTACTTGTAAGGCTGGCTCGAGTGTCTCACTGTAGCTGTGCAGATCTTCTGTTACTGCTTTATGGCTCTATACAGATATTCATATATAGCAGTTAAATCACTGTATGCCATCAAAAAAACTTTAATATAGAACAGGGTCAATGCATTTGTCTGGCAGCAACCACCACACATTTGACCTTCCACCTTTGTGTAATGCATATCCAAAAGGGTGTTAATAGCTCAGTGCTGCTCACACAGCTCGTCATCATGGATAAACCTCCAGAATCACCATGGCCATGCTAACACAACTACATGCCACTGACTAGCTCCATCGACAACACCTATGTTTTTACTTTGAGTTGAGAGTAAATACACTCTCTGCTCCTAAGACATCAAACAAATCTAGGAACACATGGAAAGGTGAGTGTATTAACATTAACTATGCTAGCCATTTGAACAAAGATTAGATAAGTGGACCATATTGTAATGTCACGTACAGGATGGACATTGTCTAGCCAATCCCTAATAACTAACATAAAGAGTCTTAGCAAGGTGTTGATCGACCAAGATCCTCCAGAACAGCTTTAATACTTCTCGTCATAGATTCTCCAAGTCTTTGAACTATACTGTAACTCTTCTTCCGAACAATATTTTCTCATTTTGTGTTTTGATGATAGTGATGTTGATGCAAAATCTTCAATTAGGTCGACTTCTAAGGCTTTAGTGTATGATCCACAGTTTTATACTCTTTAAACCATCCACTGACCCCCGAAGCTCCATATGAAAGCGTCTGCTTTTGTTGTTTTTCCACAGATTTGTTCATGTTTTTCTGTATATTCGTCCTCATGTGTACTTGAAATTTCACCCCCTAAAGACTTGACTTAAGACTTAAAAGCAAAAACATTCAAGTCTCATGTTTTGACCTGGTGAAGTCTTGCAACAATAAATAATGAATAAGAGTGCAAAAGGCAGGCATTGCATATTTACACACCTTCAATATTTAATTATTATTCATATGCATTTTAGAGACTTGGATCCAGTCATGTAAAAACATTATTACCAGCTGTGAAAGGAGAATGTTCAAATGCTGAGGACAGAATTTGCAAACTGAATCTCGCTGTACTTGTCAGTGACTATAAAGGTAGTCTGTTTTAATAAATAAAGTACAAAAGCAGATTTACTCATGAATACTTGTGCCGATAAAATGCCAGGTAGAGCTGAGGGGAACTGCATTTGGTCCATGGTTTTATGAAACTACTGATAAATGCATCTTCAAAGCAGCTCTGGGGGATACATGTGCGTGCATGCTCGGATGTGTCCTTACCAGCCCTTCACTGGGCATGATGCTGGTGAGGTGGACCACCTCCAGATGGGCAGACTGAGAGACCAGAGAGTCTGACGACAGAGAGATGATGTGGTCGCATATTCCCGCCAAGGTCTTACACTGGAGGTGGCATCAGAGGTAAAGAAAGCAGAGGGAGAGAAAATGATGGGAAAAGAGAGAAAGAGAGAGTGACAAAAAGAGAAAGACAGAAAGTTATTGAGATTGGTTTTGGTCCACGAGGGATGCCGTGACCTAGCTGGAGTAGGTGAAACAGAAATCATTTCATCAGATTGTTCCACATCGCCACTTCCATCACTCCAGCACACAAACTGTTTCCTGTCACAGACTGTCCACGGGCATGCCCACAAGACACTGTCACAGACAGAACAACACATCACCGATACCAGCGAACCCCAAGGTGCCCAGATGACATTTTCTAACATCTAAATTACAGAGCACAGATTTCATTTGTTGTTATCTGTCATTTTTTAGGGGGTACGAAAAGGGCTGTTTTTGCCTTCACATCAACTAAACAAAATCTGACACATTGTAGAGTGGTTAGATTATCTAAGCTGTATTTTTTTTTTTTTACGCTGCACTAACATCCCTAATACATATTACCTAATATGTTGTGCATCTGAGCAAATACGCCAAATAAAAAGCATGGATTCACCTTGCCTTGTTCTAAATAAACCTTGACTGTTTTTCAGGCTATTTGTCTGCTTGGTCACGCACGCAAGTTAATTTATCATCAGCAACATCTCTGCCTTCTAATCTTGGCTGACTGATTACAGCGGGCTTACAGAGACCGTTACCCTGGTTATCCTGCCTCATCGCATCGCTGCTGAGTGCACACACACACAGGGTGCACACACACAGACATACACACGTATGCTGGCAGACATACATGTAAGAGAATATACGTTGTAAACATTCACACAAGCAGCATGACAGTGATGAACCCTGCATAAAATAATCTCCTGATCTCAATCCTAATGAGCAATTACAGGATTATTGTTATGAAATGAACAGAGAAGATCTTCAACACACACACATGTAATGCAAGCACTCACATACACACACATACACTATAGCTCAGAGCCTATGATTCATTTAGTGTGAGAGAAAAGGTGGAGGATCATCACTGAGCTGGCTATGTGATGCTTATGCTACACACACACACACACACACACACACACACACACACACACACACTTCCATCCTTTTCTGGGTCAGTTATTTGAACATTACACTGCCTGTTTAGTTTTCCATTTATACAGTAATATAATGTTCTAGTCAGTGTGTACACATTACGTAATGGAATACCCAGGACTATTCATGTCATCCACAGACCCCAAACAAGCTTTTAAGGTCCCACATTGTGCTCATTTTCAGGTTTATATTTGTATTTTGGGTTTCCACTAGATCAAGATTTCATGCTTTAAAGTTTTAAAAACACCTTATTTTTCTCATACTGTGTGCCTGAATCTACCTTTATTTACCCTTTGTGTGAAACGTTCCATTTTAGTGCCTGCCTCTTTAAGCATCCCACTAGAAAAAGCCCCCTTGGCTCTGATTGGTCAGCATTTCCAGGTATTTCTCATCTGCACTCTTGGCGTCTCTGAACCGTCTTTACAGCCAGGTAATGACTGTAACAACACTGTAGCGGCAGTTCCTATATAGTGTCAGGGCCGTCGCAACCGGACAGGCAAACTAGGCAATTGCCTAGGGCCCCGAGCTGGAAGGGGGCCCCCAGAGACGGCTGACAATGGTCCATATCAATGACAATATGATGGAACCCCTATAGACACTGCAACAACAACAACACGTTGGAATCCCCCCTAATGGGGCCCCCTACTAGCTGCTGCTTGCGAGTGGCTACGTAGGGTGACCAGACGTCCCGCACTGTGTGGGACTGCACAGAATTTCTGTCTCTTTTCACGCGTCACACAAATTGAGACCATGTCCCGCATGATTGGTTGCCACCTGCGCTAGCATTGTTGGAGTACCGTAGTACTACGGTACCTCAGGGTACCACTACTGTGGTATAAGTTCAAAGTCCAATCGCAAGAGGGTGAGTGTCCATGCGCCGTTACACATGGACACTCACCCTCTTGTGCAAGCAAAACAAATCATTCAGCACGCTATGCAAGTACAGATTTCAACCAGCAGCAGAATGACTGCCCAGAAATACCTGAACAGCCGAGCCGTGGCGGCACACAGGTATGTGATGTGTCAGAGGAGAAACGAGCCGTTCACATTACTCTTTGTGACAGGTAACGGCCCACAAACCTCAGCGCACCAAGGTGCCTCTTGCCTACGGCCCCCAGAGTGTCTTGAAACAGCCCTGTATAGTGTAGCTGTGACATCACAACTTTACCAAAGTTGACGACTCATTTAAAGGAACAGTTACTGAATACGGTCTATGTGCATTTCTCTGGGGATTTAGCATCTCGATACTTTCACAGTATTTCTATGCCATAAATACCAACCTGTTCTCATCCCAATTCGTCAAAAACCATCTCTTAGTCTGTAAACCTAAACGGCAAAATATGCTGCGGTAGGCACCCTCCTGCATTGGTTTTGGATGTCCATGGACCCAGTCTCAATTGATGCTTGTTAGATCCATTTTGTCTTTTCAAAATACATTTCCATTTTCACAGGAAATGTACATGCATGAAGTCTTTTTAAAAATAAACCTACATAGGTAAAACACATCGTTTTTATGTTTATTTCCTTAGGTTTAGGCAGCGAATGTCCCTGGTTAGGTTTTAAAGCACGTTGTTAAATTGAGAAAAAAACATCATGGTCATGCTGGAGAAGTGCCAGTTCACCTCCTGGGCACTGCCGAGGTGCCCTTGAGCAAGGCACCGAACTCCCCAACCGCTCGGGGCGCCTCACCAAGGGCAGCCCCCTCACTCTGACATCTCTCCACTTTGTGCATGTTTAGGTCCTGTTTGTGCGTGTGTCTTTCGGACCTGTGTGTAATTGACAAGCAAGAGTGAAAACATTGAAACATTGAATTTCCCCTCCGGGGGATTAATAAAGTAAATAAACTTAAACAAACTTAAAACTTATAATATCACATCACACGAATGGGTGAAAGCCCGGTGTTTGTCTGTCCCATTCACCTCCTCTTCTGCTAACCCTCCCGCTCTTTATACTACATTAGTTGCCTGTGGCATCAGAAATAGCTGCCGCCCAATGCTTATCATACCGCCGCAAAAGGTGCCTCTGAACATCGGTATCTGAATCCAAAATCATTGACAAAGTGGTGGCATTTGACGAGTTGGGAGTGAGAATAGGATGTCTATACCTGCTCTGTACTAAAAAAGTACTAAATCTGACTTTTTTACCTCAAAGCAGGGACCTTTAATTTAAAAAAATGAAAGAGAAAATAGATGAATAAGTGAGAAATAAATTGGAGAAAAGCAGAAGCAGAGTATATCTAATCCGGCCTATAGAGCCATAAATAGTATGTGAAGTCCCCAGCCTGAGACCGCAGCCAGTGACAATGTTGTGGCTCTGCTTATATCCCTCTTTAATCATTGGACTAATAGTCTTGACCTGGGATTAACACAGGCCGAGAGACAAAAGGCCAGTTACCAGTGTGGAGACTCTCAACTCCTCCAGCTTTGACACACCCAGCCTTGATCTGACACGCCTCCGGAGAATCAGAGCGCAGATTATAGGGAAGTTAACTTATGTGGCTGGCTGGCATGAGATTTAAGAGCAGTCAAACAGAAAGCCAGACATAGTACGCTGCCAAATGGATTAAGCTCTGGCTGCACACTGCCCCCCCTCCATCCCCCACATGCCACCTACCACCTCCCTCATCCTCATCCTCTCGCACCTTCTCTCATGCGTGCACACACACCGATTGCGGCTGCTTAATGCATCTACATCCACATGCATAGGCATACACAACTAATATAAACCTGAACCGAGACACAGAGAAAAGATGGAGACAGGGAGAAGGAGAGTGGAGGAGAGGAGCAGAGAGGCAGGGAGGTGGGGAGGGAGAGTCCGGGAGGAAAGGGGAGAAAACAAGGGAAAGGGAAAAACACACAACTAGGACAGTCTTATGTAATTCCTCTCATCCTTATGCATGCATGCACATAAAAACACACACACACTCATACACACTTCACGCTCCATTAGACACACAGACTTACACATGCTCATATCTTCTCTCTCTCTCTCTCTTTCTTTCTCTCTCTCTCTCTCTCTCTCTCTCTCAGACACACACACACACACACACACACACACTACAGACACACTATCCCTGTCCATCTGATTGCTGCGGGCCGTAGTCTGGAGGAGAGCAGAGTAGCAGTGAGTTTTGCATTATTGAGCAGAAGCTGACAAACGTACAACTACCGCTACAGTAGCTACAGCAGAGCTGACCAGAGCATTAAACAGTGTCTGAGCCCCACGCTGGACGCACACTGGAGAGCTGAAACTTCTTCTGAGTGCCAAAGGTGATGAATTAAGATATAACCAGCATTTTAATGTTGTAGCAGGATGATGTGTGGCTTATTACATTATGTCTTTATAATATAATTATTTTATAAGATGATCATGTTTATGTGATGAAAATGAACAGACCAGTGATGAAACATTTTCATCACTGGTCTGTTATGAAGTTTTCTAATAGTTAGTTATTAGTCAGTTGGCAGTAAGTAAGCATTTAGGTACTGTAGATCGTTAGCAAAAAAATTTATAGACTCATACAAAAGTAATCCCTCTCAATCATCAGTCATATTAATCCACAGAGACCCTGCCCTCTCCCTGTTTCTTTCTTCTTTTATTCTATTTTTGCTGCATTTGGGACATTCCTGGGCACAGTGCACAGGTGAGGTCAGGATTTTAAGAAAAGGTATCCAAAAGGAGGCTACAAAAATCATGAACACAGAAAAACAAAGAAATTGGAATGCCAAGTGGACAAAGCTGGAGTTGGCCTACACTTTCACTTTTGCTGGTGAAACTGTGGATAACCAGTAGCCAACAATTCCTGCATAGTACCTTTGACTTATTATTATGAAGTAAATGTTGATTGCTATATGTAACGGCTGTGAAATAATGACATCGTCAGCGTTAGATTGGTTCCCTATTGCCTAGCTTTAATGATGCAATTTTGTCTGCATCAGGTACAATCTCTTGGGAAAATGAAGGCTCAAAAGGAAGTGCGTCAACCACTGCACAACCAAAAGAGGTTGAAGAAAGCGCTTTTGTTTTTGTAGTTACTATCCCCAAACTGTGGTAGTTGCGAGGCTTAGAGGAAAACTCTTAGTGTCAGTGGCAAAATAAAATGCCTTGGAAACATTAGTGGGGTAAAAGTTGAAAAGTCGTCTCTTTCCACTGTAAATATCCAAAATATAGCAAACATCTTTCACTAACACATATACAAACCAGAAAAATACATATTATCGTAGCATATAGGCTATATTGATTTAATGGAATGTATGTCTATGTACAAAATTTAAATATATTTTCCACTAAATAGCAGAGCAAAGAGAGACATACACTGCTTACTGTAATTTGTCTCCTTTTTACTCATCTCGTGGACTTTCTGCAGGTAACTGGCTGACTTAAATGTTTCCTAGGTGACTACCCAACCCAGTCTTTGTCCATGATCCATTTAAACAAAAAAATAAAACTATGCTTTTTGTATTAATAAACAATATACTGCATGGCTCCCAATAAAAAAAATATGACAGAAAACAAAATGGAACTAATTTTCATACCATTATTTGACACATTGGACAAGTCCACATTCCTTCTTCCAATTGAAAATACTGTCCTGGTTCAAATTAAGAAGTAAAATACTAGATGATAATCTATGCATCATCATCTTCATCCTCTGTGTGTGTCCATTGTGTTTAGTTTAGAGTCACCTCACCTCCACTTTTTATTAATTTCTAGAGCACATAGTAAACAAGGATCAGCAAGAAAGCAGCATCTAAAAACAAACACCTCCTCCTCCTCTCTCTTTCTCTCTCTCCCTTCACACTGTCTCCCTATTTCACACATAAACCTCCCACACATAACAGACTTAGTCATGTGTAGCCTTTAGTCTGGCACCCAGGGTTCTCTGTGTGTGCGTATGTGTGTGCACACATGTGCACAGCCATTTAAATATTTGAATTTGCCTGATGTCACTGTCCTGTGTCATTAACAGGCCTGTAACAACAGAGGTAAACGACAACCAAAAAGCTAAGGAGGGAGTCATTTTAACAGGAGGGACACCGCATCACCAACATCTCAAATACAGACGTATGACTGCTTTTGTTTATAGAAATATGTAACACCGTTGCTATATACTGACAGAACATCTGATGTGTGATTTATTTCTTGGCATAAAATGGCCAGATATTTTTCTGTGAACTCCCCCTGCCAACATTTTATTTGGTTTCCTCCACCTGACCTTGAATGGCAGCAGGAAGTGTCCCAATCCAACTGTCAGCTCGGATCAGACACTAGCTGCTCACTCGGTTTCACACGTGGACACAGACAGTTCTCTGTCATACATGCAGGCGCGCACACACACACACACACACACACACACACGCATTCATGCACACACACACTCTCTCACAAACACACACGCACACAGAAGCTAAACTAGAGCTTTCAAAACGGCCTCAGGCCCACTTGCACTTTAACGTGCACAGCTTTGTGCCACAAATTCCCACAAAAACACACAGTGCTCTAACACACACGCGCGCGCACACTCCCACGCAGAAAACATGGACAGACACACACATACAGACATATTTCAGCTTTTCAGTGTGTTCATGAACTCATACAGTTTTGTTTCAGAATCATTACAACTGTTTGATCAGAACCAAAAGAAAGAGTCTACCAGCAAGGATAAGACTTCATTAAAGGAATAGTTACACATTTTGGTTTGCTTTCTTACCAGGCTTAAAGGGATAGTGCACCCAAAAATTAAAATTCAGCTATTATCTACTCACCCATATGCCGAGGGNGCCCCAGATTCAAACGTCCAAAAACACATCATTGAAACCACAAAATATCTCCATACTGCTCGTCCGTAGTGATCCAAGTGTCCTGAAGCCCCGACATAAAAAGTTGTTTGGAAAAACCTCATTTGAACTGACACAAAAAACAGAGTTCAAATGAGGTTTTTCCAAACAACTTTTTATGTCGGGGCTTCAGGACACTTGGATCACTACGGACGAGCAGTATGGAGATATTTTGTGGTTTCAATTATGTGTTTTTGGACGTTTTAATCTGGGGCGCCGTCAGCCTGCATTAGGTGGAGTTGTGTTGCTACCCACTCCCCCCTGGGATCTCCGCAAGGGATATGAGGACTCTAAAACTTCACTTGAGCCTCCCTCGGCATATGGGTGAGAAGTTAATAGCTGAATTTTCATTTTTGGGTGCACTATCCCTTTAAGACAAAGACCAGAAACAGGGGAAAACAGATGGCATGGTTCTGTCAAGAGGTTACATAATCTGCCTACCAGCAGCTCCACAAATTAGTTATTCTTTAAAGCTTGTCATTTGCTGAAACTGTCACTATATTCTGAAGTACCTGAGATGCACTGAAAACAACCAATCAGAGCTGAGGAGTCTCTGATGCAGCTGACAATGGTCAAACTGTCAAACTAAGCAGCGCTGATCAAATATGAATCAAAATTCTGTTATTGCATTGCCTGTTTCTCTCCCCAAATGCTTTAGAGACATGTTTTAGTGCACTGTTTAGCTGTAAAATGAGAAAGTTTGTGACCCGGCTGCCATATTGGAAGCAGTTGACTGAAGTGCCAAGCACTGCCTACTAGCCCGACCAACTTTCTGACCGCAGTTTACGAGCAGGGATTGACATGACTGACAACTGGGTTAGCGACTCCTCAGCTGTGATTGGTTGTTGTCGTTCACATGCAGTAAGGCCATTAGAGGCACTACAAGACAACAGAATAGGCAGATGAGTATAATTTTTTTTCACAGATTATTTGTCTTATTGTATGAATACAGTGACAGCTTCAGCAAAAATGAAAAATGTTAATTCTTATAAAAGTTACCAGCTGCAGCTTTAACATGTTATGTCTCCTTTGTTCAATCTGTATAAAACCTGAAGTGAAAAATGACAATAGGAGGATATGTGCCGGACTGGTTCTTGGCCAGGAGCAGTAACTTCCTGGAGTCACTGCTGGTTGCCTGGCAACTGCTCCTGTTTTTACACTTCTGTTTTTGTATGGCTTTGTATGGCAAAAAAACAAGACATACACTGTTAATTAATGAGCTTTAGAGGTGCTGCTAGGTAGATTTTGTCATCTTCAGACATTGCCAGGCTACCTGTTTCTCCTGTAACCAGTCTTCCACTTCCTTCGCATTAGAGTGAATAAGCATGTTTTCCAGAATGCTGATCTACTCCTTTAATGCAACAAGGACTTTGAAAGACTTGCTTTAGAAAAAGGAGACTGTGACGGTGAAATCTTAGAGGTACTTAAAAGGTAAAAGGTACTTTTAACACTATTATTGATATTCTCATAAGAATTTGACATTTTAAAGCAGGAACTTACCACATGAAGAATCTTATTCTCTGTCTCATACACAGTGCAATCCTGTAAAATGAGAGGAAGGAACAAAGAGACAGAAGAAGAAAACATGAGATGGAGAAAGCATCTATGTGAACATCCGCAAAGAAGCTCAAATATCTCCCTCCTCCAAATATAACTACCAGGAAAGACGGATATAAGAGAAATGAGACGGGAAACAGGAGGGAAGATAGATGACTTCTTTTTCAATAAAGAACATCAGCAGTCAGCTATTTCATTTCTAACCATCCACATTATGCATATTACTTTATAATCTACGCAGTCTAAAACACTGGATTGACCAGTTCTGGATCCACTCAGTTGCCTGGAGCTGCACGAGCCTCCGCAGGATTTATAAACTACATTATTTGAACATGACAGATTGTTATTTAACGATAGCTGATAGTTAATCTATTTCTGGGAAAGCAGCCCACTGAATCCACCAGATGTGCATGGTAGCAGTTAATTCATCTGTTTGATGCATTAGTGCAGGCGGTGCTGCCACCTTTGTCTGTCTCGCTGCACCCTGGCAGCCACATGTTCATTTGGCCCATTGTGGACCCACTGTGGCCCTCTTTCTCCTCCCTCTCCTCTTGGCCCTTGTAGGAGGGGATGGGTGTTATCAGCTCGGCTCCAGGACTCACTCCGGGCACACGTACAAACACACTCTCACACACTCTAAGCAGGCTCTTACAGGGAGGACGTGGATGGGGTCCAGGAGAGCAGACATACTTTCTGTCCAAACAATGAGATTTCTACAGTATCAGTGTGTGTGTGTGTGTGTGTGTGTGTGAATGCATCTCCAGTTTTATTTTTCTCTAAAGTGCATTTGTGTGTGTAAGTGTGGTGAATCTACACGAGGGAGCGAGCCACAGGGGGAGCAGAAGGAGGACGGGAAATGAGGGGAGGAGACACCCCTGGTTCATTCTCCATCAGCACCCACAAGTTAAGCAGAGGATGTGGTCTAACAGTGAGTCAATGAGAACTTTGCCTAAGGCTATAACTGAGAGCTAGTCGTCCCATCAGCCATGCTGCAAACAGTCTGTGGCAGTGGGCATATGCTCCACTCATAGTCAAATCTATAGAAATGAGCTCCAGACCAGAACAAGTATTGATGCTCCCAGTCCAAACCCACTTTAGTTTTGCTGTTTCTATTCAAAATCATTATCTTTACTGTGTCAGTGTAATGAATGTATATGGATGTGATGGATTGTGTGATGCATGCGTTCTGTATGTTTGTGAGTGAGGGTGAAAGCACCTGTTGTACGATGGTGGTTAATTCTAGGCAGAGCTGCACAATGTTGTTCTTCAGTAATGAATACTCTGTCACACTGGCGAACGGAGACCTAAAACAGACAAAAAAAGAGAGTTCATGATATGAGAAATTAAAATATGGAGAACTTTGGTAAAACATTGGATAATGCACTGGTCATCTTGTTCTACATTTTGTTATTGTTTTCATCAAATGCCCCAGTTTGGAAAAGGAGCATAGTGTTTATCCCTCCGGGGTGAATAGGTCTCAAAATCACACTTAAATGAATGTGAGCAAAGCATATTTGGTCATTCTATTAAAAAGTGAGTTCCTTGACTATATTTTTGGAGGAGTTCTTTTTTTATATTGCTCTTTTTATTTTGTTTTGTTCAGTGTATTTGCTAACTGTGTGATTTTAAAAGCTGTGACCGAGTAGTGAGCGAGAGCAATAAAAGCGATTCTCTGCTCCTCTCAGAACACACGAGCAAATGATAAAGACAAACAACAATATTTGGTTTTATATCATGGCCAGAAGGCTACGCAACCCAAGGATCCACTAAAGCTCAACATCGCTTTATTTGTGTTTGTTCTCAGATTCATACAGTCCCATCAGCTGATCTAATTTCACAGTAACAACATAAAGACATCCTTCCTTACCCATCTATGAATTGTGTTACTGTATGAGGCATAAAAATAACAGGAAATCCTGGTAATATAATGCAGTTCCAAAAAGTTTATTATGTTCAATATCTGGTGAAACTTCGTGGAGGGAGATTGTAAGGCGTTCCTGTTATATTGTCCACTGCCTGGTGTGCTCTGTTTAGTTAAAGGTCCCATGTTGTATAGAGTCCATGTCTTTATTAATGTAAAGCAGGTATAGGTGCTGTATGAATACTGTGAAACTATCAAAATGCTCAATCTACAGTGAGATGTACACAATCTGTATTCAGAAACTGTGCCTTAAAACGAGCCATTAGGACTTGTGTGAAGTTGTGATGTCACAACTATACAGACCTTTTACATTCCCCATGAGTCCCTTTGTATTTCCTGTTGGAATGTTTGTCAGTGTATGTGAATGCAACAAACATGGATCCAAGCTGTTCCCTAGAAATTCAGTTGTTGTGATTCAGGCTAACAACAATCACTTTGCGGTAGATTACTGGCAATAGATCTGAATAGATATGTGAAATCTGCAAACTTGTTGTTTATATCTGTCGTCGTTTTCAGACGTAACTATAACGTTTAATGATATATAATTAAACGCGGTGGTCCGATCAATCTAATGTTTCGGCTGTTGCTCATGTTATGTACTGCGCTTCTTTGCTAGTGTCTTTGATATAACCAAATCTGCCAGCATGGAGGCTAAGTAATGTACTGTTGTGAATGAGACTACAGCAAAATGTATTTAACCACCTAATAATAGTCCCACCAAAAAAAATACCTTAAATGTAAGTGTATGCTGTATCTGGAATATTGTAACCATTTTACCTTACACATGAACTGATCAAGGCAGCAGTAGACCAGCAACTGAAAATTCCATTTGGTGGCTTTAAGATAATGGCTTCAGTTCCCTGTTGGAAAAGGCTGTCTGACACTGCGATAAAGTGGTGAAAATTTTCTAAATATAGTGTACACTCAAACTGATATTGATTCTTTAGGTGGGACTTTTATAAGGTAGTTAAAAACTTACCATTTGAGGCAGCATCTGCTGTGCGCCATCTGACTGTATATGACGCTGAGGTCTTCTACCCGGAAGTTACCGTTAACAAACATTGTGAGTCAGTCTATAAAGATAGAAAGTGATGCTTCAGTGTTGTCACAGTCATTCCCCCATCGGCAATGAGGGCGCAAAGATGACAAGAGCGCAAATGTGGGAGACCCGGAAACACTGACCAATCAGAGCAGACTGGGCTTTTTTGTGAAAGGGGCTAAAAGACACAGGCACTTAAACGGAGGGTCAGAGGCTGAATGCAGGCGCATTCAGAAAGACAGTATGAGAAAAATGTTGTTTGTTTTTACATTAAAGCATGTAAACATGTTCTACTGGAAACCCGATGGGACCTTAAAGTGACTGCTTTCTAGTAAAAATGTATAGATTTAGATTTCTTTGTGATCCTTACTTGATGAAAAATAGGCATAGTGTCCTAAATGTTAAAGGTCAAACTCCCAAATTCATTGTACAGCCTCAGGTGTGTTCGCTACCTGTCGAGCCAGGCTAGCAGGTTCTTGGCTGCACCAATCAGATCCACCACCGAGGTAAGGAAGTCATTGGGTAGCCTCCGGGAAGCTCGTCCATCGTAGTGGCCGCCCCTCCGCCGGCCCAGGATGAAGTTCTGGAGGTTCTTTGCCGAAGCGTTCAGCTTGTGGGACAGAGTCCGGAGGTTTTCCGTCTCTAGGCCGTAGTTCTGGTGGACAATCAGAGGGACTCATTTTAGAAGTACATTCACGTACTGTATATATTTTGTTGCTGTCTGTGTGGACATTGTGCAAGATGCCATTGGTTCAAGGTTACCTGTGGCAGTGATTTGTCTGATCAGAGGTTAAAGAAATAGTTTTCCAGTGTGGAATCTCTCTGAGAGTTAGATGAGAACATAGATACAGCTCTCAAACATGAGATGGGCATCAATCTTCTCATCTTACTCTCAGCAAGCAAGAGATTTCCCAAAATGCTGAATGACAGGTTTATAAAAACCAGTGTATCTACAAAGAAACATGAAAGAGTAATGTGAAACCACTGCAATATATTTTGGAATAGATACAACATAGCTACAGTCTAAATAAGGCTTACCTTCCCACAAGTTTTATAGCTCGCGCAAAAGAAGTATCAACTGTGATTTAACCATAAATGGTGCATCTGAGTGAAATGGACTGAAATTAGAAATTACTATATCTGACTATCCATTAGCATTTTCATATAACAGCCACTCTCCACACTAATACAAGAACACAAAAGCTGGTCGAGTAGCCCATTACTGCACTGTGACCCTTTTAAATAAACACACACACACACACACACACACACACACACACACACACAGACCCACTGAGCCACATTGCACTCAGCATCCCAAGGCACCTCCAGTCATGTCCTGCCTGACAGAGCCTGATTCCTGCTGACATAAAGGCTACACACACACACACACACATACACACGCACACACACACACACACATGCACACACACGCACTCACACACACATCCTTGTATAGTCAGATGCACAGGCTTAGCTAGACGTATCTATTCCTCCTCTGCCTCTAGATCTATTCTACACAGTCACGACCACAGTGACTACAAAGGAGAGAGGGTTTCACAGTGGCAGCAGAGAGAGAGAGAGGGAACTGAGGAAGAAGACAAGAGGGAGAGAGGGGGAGAGAGAGCACCCAACTATGCATCTCACTGAAACTGGGTCATGCATACACTGCGTTCTGTATATTCTTCTGTATTCTGTGAGAACGTGGATGTATACATGAACTTGGAGCAGCACATGTTTGCACAGCTGTAATTAGCCTATCCTATGATTCGATCTAAAGCTGTGTGCGTCTCTCTCCAGGGGACAGAGCGCTGAGATGAAGCGGAGGAATAATGCCCCGTGTTGACTGTCTGCTTGTATGTGTGTGCAGAGAAAGAGGGAGAAATAATTTGAGCAGTGCATGCATGTGTGTGTCAAATCAATACAATAAGAGGGCGATGCCATTAAGCAACCCCCCCTTCCCTTCCCTCCACCTTCGTGTCGATGTGGTTGCCATAGCAGCCATGTGTGGAGTGGCCTCTCCTCTATGCTGATATTGCTATCATTGTTAACAGAATCACACTCAAATGCTGTTAATGCAATGTTTGGGCAAAAAGGAAGACTTCACCATTTGAAACTATCAAAATGCTCAATCTACAGGGAGATGTACACAATCTGTATTCAGAAACTGTGCCTTAAAATGAGCCATTAGGACTTGTGTGAAGTTGTGATGTCACAACTATACAGACCTTTTACATTCCCCATGAGTCCCTTTGTATTTCCTGTTGGAATGTTTGTTTGAAAGCTTAGAAGATCTGGGGTCACTGCTCAACTCAAGCAGATGAGTTTTGTATAATGAGCGGATTTTAGATTTTTTACTGCAGGTTTTTCTTGTTTACCCCAAAACATGTCCAGCTACAATTTCCTACAAGTGAATTCAAACATTTGATTTACAGTTCAAATTAGGGGCTGAAATGATAAAATGAGTTGTTTTCAGCTGTTCAAAAACAGAATACAAATTATGAAACTGAACATGGTTTGATTTGTTTGTAATGACCTTTTTTATGGGACTGTTTCAAAGTGTTTTAATTCGGATAGCGTTACCCCTGAGCAATAGTAAGACTGAAATCACCCAGAGACAAACATACATGTGCACATACATGCAAACCAAACAAAGGGCAAAGGATACAAGTGGGGTTAGTGGAGGGGGTCCGACAATAATGAGAGATGCTACCTCACAGACTATAGGAGCAAACCCAACATTCAACAATTATTTAAACTTTCCCATATGGAACATCTGAGGACCCTAATTAGCTAAAATCAAGATGAAAAGGACTGGAAATATAAATTACGGCCAACTATTTAACAACTTTCACATAACCGACAGGATTTTAAAATCAATTTGGAGTCACACAGGGTAGCACTGAAAAGGAACCAACATAGAAAGCTGACTCATCTGCTGTGAAAGAGTTACAGGAGGAGATGATGGCATGAATCACTTTCTCAGAACAAAAGCAGAACAAAAGCAGAACTGGGACATAGTTCCAAACATAATAAAGCTACCTAATTATTATTATGGATCATGCCAAGATTTCAGAGTTGTTAGGTTTTTGAAGGCTTAAGTTGTTTGTTTTTTGTATAGAGGCAGAACATCCTGTTCGCATCCTGTTTGCAGGTGCTCCAAATGTATGAAGATCAGATTGATTAATAACTCTAAACTCCTGAAAGATATGAATGTGTTTGTCTGTGTGTGTTAGTCCTGACAGACTGCTGAGCTGCACGGGGTGCCTCTCTGCATTTTGTGAAGTCAGTAGAGAATGATGCCTTTCCTGTGGCGCTGAAGAAGAAAGGCATGTTATAGACATTAAATGGAGTTTAGTCTATGCTACTTTATTAGCATTTCTAAATGTTATCAAAATTACAGTAATTATTAGGCCTGAGAAGAAAATAAAGCTTGGTCTAGTATGATACATCATATAGAAAAGACAAGTGGCCCTAAAATAGATCCTTGGGGAACACCACTATGACAGCTTGAATGTAAAAAGTAGAAATGAGCAGGTACACCATTATCTGTATCTGTTCAACCAACTGAATTATCTATATCAGTATCCATACTACAGCGGAGTTTAAATAGAAAGTGGGTGGAGTCTATGTTATTGTAAGCCTTGATTGACATGGGTAAATAAGAAGTTGCTACACTTATTATTTATAAGAAAACTTTTTATAGAGCAGTTTCAGAATTGAACTTCAGATAATTTTTGATCAAAAGAGTACAAGATTGAATACAGCCACTCAAATGAGGATTTTCCTTAATCACAAGTACTGATATTGACAAATCTTACTTTGATGTGTCCCTGTCTCACTCCACAGTCATCAAATGCTGGTGCTTGGGCAGTGACTTCTGGCGTCAGACACCAACAAAAAAAGCCATCCTTTAACCTCAGCATGATACATGGCCAGTCGCTGTTGTTGTGTAATGGTGCCCAGCAGTGTAAGGGGGGAACGTGGCCAGACAACAAGTTAAGGGGCCGAAAGTCCAAGTAGGGCAGGCAGGAGGGGTGATGGATGGGTGGTGGATGGGTCCAACAACCACTGACTTTCACCTGGGAAGCTGGTGTTTGCTTCCTGTGTGATTGTAAAACCAAACCCTGTTCTTTTTTCTAAACCCAACCATGTGCTTTTGTTTCCTAAACCTAACCATGTACATGTGTTAGCCAAATTTAACTATGTGAGTTTGTTGTTGAAGGAAACAAAGGTCCATTTGCGGTGTTGTACCAAGGTAATGCATTTATTTTGAAAGAGACTGTATGCAAACTGTACATTTCCTGTGAAAACTAAAGTGTATTTTGAAAACAGACAATGCATGTAACAGGCAGAAGTTGACACAGCATTCCAGAACGTCAACAACCAACGCACCCAGGAAACCTAGCACGACATATGTCGATGTGGAAAGATCATGGTCAAACATTGATATGTGACGAGGCCGGATTGAGAATGTGTTGTCTGATGATACTTGTACTTATAAAAACTACATAATCTGTAATGGATATTTATTTCACCTGAGTATTCGGTAAAGCTGCGGCAAAAAGCTAATCTCAACCTCATCAGCTGTCCTAAAATGTTCAAAATAAAGTAATAATTTTGTGACATTTCATCGAAAGAGACACAGTTTATGAAAAAGAAAAGATATCTGGGAAAATAATCATTAATTTGTCTTCACAACAAGTTTTAAAAAGATAATAAACAGATGTTAACTGAATAGTTTCGTATCATTTGAGTGTGTGACAATGGGAAATCGTCATATACTTGCAATAAAGTTTAACAATAAACCTGGCTGCTATAGCCTACATCGTATGACTGCTTGAGAAAGAAAAGGTAGTAATATTTGCCTCCCTCTGCCGTATTTTTTTTTGTGAGTAAAATTAAAATTAAAGAGATGTTTTAATTTGTTCAGTTTCTAAACTTTTAATGTAGCTTCAATACTATGACACATATGTCGATGTCATTTATGAGTGTCTTTCATTTCAGATTTTGGGATGAGCAGTCATTTTATTCTTAAGTTATGCCCATTTCCCAGCACATCTTGCTGAAAATTCACTGCACCCACAGAAACCTACTTAGCATAGATGCTGGGGGCAAAAACTCGATTGCATAGGCATAAAAGAAGGGACTTTTCCACATTTACAGCGAGACTGAAAGCTCAGTCAGCGCTTGAAACTTGCATTGATCCAGGGCCACAGAAGCTTCCCCTTTTTTACTGCAGAAAGACCAGAAAGTCATAACAGTTGAGCCAGGGGAGCAGGGTTTTGCTTTCCTCATGATGGATTATATTGCTCATGACAGTGAATCGTCCTTTATTATCCTAATATTCACGGTATCTACAAGTAAAGCTGGAGAGTACAGTTAATGAGAGGTAGGAGGTCAATTGAGAATTGCTTTCCCCAAGCTATCTTAAAGGATAATTTTGATTTATTATGATTGGGGCCTTACTTTTGTAGTTTTGTTTTTTAATTCTATTGATTATGAAAACATTTTACTCATTGTACTAACAAAGTAATTGCTGAGATCTCGGAAAACACTGCAACTTTGCAACAACAAAATCCAACAAGGCGAGAAATGAGCATTCGCATGATCAGACAAGCTGTAAACCAGCCAACAGTTTAGCCAGATTATCTAAACCTCAAGTGAGCATGGCCAAAATGCCTGTAACAATCCCTTTCCATACATGAAAACTGTATGCACACACACCTACGGCGAGTTTGGTAAGGGTCAAAGTTTCCTCCCCAGATGCTGACATATCTGAGCTTGGTGATCAGTGTTACTATATCTAGGAATAGCTAGAACTACATAGATTAAGACCCAAGTTGTAATAAACCGGAATTATCCTTTAATACGACTCACAGCAGTAGTTTTAGTGATACATCTTGTATGTGTGTGGTGTGTGTCCAGTTCCAGGACATATGGTGATTGCTGCTCTGGGACACTCATTCACATGCTGGAACGTTTGAATGAGAAGAGGTGCTGATTAGCACACACACACAAGCATGTGCGTACACACACACACACACACACACACTCTCGTACACACATTCAAACAGCCCCGACTAATCCAGCCATGTGTGCCTGGGAGATAAGGTGCATCCTGCATACTCTTTCTACATACTCGCTCTCCTCCTCTTCCTCTCTCTTTCCCTCTCACTCTCCCTTCGTCTCTGTCTCTTTCTCTCTCTGGGAGAGTAGCACCTAATTCCCCCTAATTCCCTAATCCTGAGCAGGGCCACTGCACATACAGTCAGCAGTGACCGAGGCAGTACACACAAAGCAGGGCCCAAATGATGGAGGATTTTTCTAGCCATTTCTTAAGCCAATATCAATAACTGGTGGGGGAAAATAAACATCAGCCAATATATAAATCTTTCTATCTGTGAGAATCTCTTCAGCAGTTATAGGCAAGAAAACTATTCTTACTCAAAATTGGTCCTAAAGGTGCCGTATATGACATTTAGATCATTTGGATAGCAGCAAACAGCTATTTGCTATGTAAATATATATTGGAGTAATGGTGTCCTGAGCAGAGGTTAATCTCTCTCCCTGTGTGTCCTAGTCTGAACTTCTCAGGTATTTGTTGTGGTAGCTGCACTGGTTGCGCGTGCATATTAGTGCATGTAAGTCCCTGTGTGTGTATCCCACTAGCAAGCTAATTACTGCCACTCTGCACTGGCTGATAATAACGTCCTCCTGAACCATGTGGCAAAACAACTTTGTCATGGAATCGTTGTGCCAAACCTCCAGTTTCTGCCTGGGTTAACACTGTTAGCTCTGTCAGCACTGTTGCTGTTGTTAGCACTGTTCAGGCTCACTGTTAGCTGCAAGCCGCTGGCTCAACCACCTCCTTGTTGAGAACCATTCATTCTAAATTCCTAATGGTAGATATAGAGTGAATACTAAGGTTGGGCATTGATATCTTATATGTTCCATAAAAATGTTTGATTTAACAAATGAAGACAATATTCTCAAAAGTTAAATGTTGTCCAAAGACAAGCAGCTGCTTGCCTAAATAAAACTGTATAAAATTAGCATAATTTTGATTTACCTCAGCTGTAGCTGGCAAGTTAACCACTAACATGCAACTAGACAGGCACATACTAGCTACATGCAAGCTTTTTTGTATTTTCTCTATACTGTGTTGTTTATTACCCCCCAGTTTATTCAGTTTATTCAAGATGTATTTGTAACACTGACTACTATTCTATAACTCAATGCAAACTTGTCCTTCTCTGTGGAGCAGTTCATACTCTGACACAGGAGGGTTTAATAAAAGTGGATGCCGCAGCAACGTTAGCTTTGCTATTATTGGTCAACAGTGTACGTTTATGTGTCAAAGTTTACCAAAGTTTAACTCAAAGAGCAAATTTTGGCATTTTTTTATTTCACTAGTGTCAAACATCAGCAGAGTAATAAAACAGACTGCGTGGCTTTCTAGTTAGACTGAAAACACTCTTAGCTAAACACACTGAGCACCAGTCCATCCATCCATCCATCCATCCATTCATCCATCCATCCATCTATCCATTTTCATCCGCTTATCCGGGGCTGAGTCGGAGGGGCAGCAGGCCAAGCAAAGCACCCCTGACATCCCTCTTCCCAACAACGCTTTCCAGATCCTCCAAGGGGACCCCAAGGCGTTCCCAGGCCAGATGAGATATGTAGTCCCCCCAGCATGTTCTGGGCCTCCTACAGTGGGACGTGCCCAAACACCTTGAACAGGAGGTGCCCAGGCGGCATCCTAATCACATGCCCGAACCACCTCAACTGACCCCTTTTGACGCGAAGGAGCAGCAGCTCTACTCTGAGCTCCCTCCGGAAGTCCGGGCTCCTCACCCTATCTCTATGGCTGGGCCAAGCCACCCCACGAAGGAAACTCATTTCGGCCGCTTGTATCCGTGATCTCATTCTTTCAGTCACTACCCAGAGCTCATGACCACAGGTGAGAGTTGGGACATAGATGGACCAGTAAATTGAAAGCTTCACCTTCCTGCTCAGTTCCCTCTTCACCATGATGGTCTGGCACAGTGCCCACATCATTGCAGAAGCCGCACCAAACCGCCAATCCATGCACACTCCATTCTACCCTCACTCGTGAACAAGACCCTGAGATAAAGGAACTCTCTACGGCAGTAACTCTCTCCCAACCCGGAGAGGGTAATCCACCGGTGATTGAGGTGATTTGAGGACCTTGCCCGGTATGGGGACTGAGGACCAGTCTTTTCCGCTAACTATCTGGCTAAAGCTAGATAGCTTCATAAAACTACACCAACCAGTGCCTGTATGTTCATTTATATACTGTACTGCCAGCCCGTTCTCATTCCTTAGTTGTCAAATACCGCTGCTTTGTCAGAAGACATAAGATACCAACACGGAGAGGCACCTTTCACGGCAGTAAGATATGCACCGGACAGCAGCAGTTGTTGATGCTGTGGACAACAACCAAACTTCTCAAATACCGCCGCTATGTCAGTGGACGTCCACGCATGATGACAATGGACAGAGGCACCTTTTGTGTCCCAGAATGTCCAAAACTGACGCAGGAGGCTACCTAGTGTGTCACATTTTGATGTTTGTGTCCACTGACAAAGTGATGGTATTTGACAAATTAGGATGAGACTGTGTTGGCACTGTGTGCTGTTGCAGCATCACCTCTTGTAGCCAGTGGTAGTTGACAAGGTGGGTGTAGTACTGGGTAGATGGGTAGGTTATAAAGGGGAAGTGGGTATACTGTCTTATATATTCAAATGGCTTTTTGGCTGATAGGTGGGTATACTGTAAATGGCCAGAAAAAGAGGTGGGTAAACCCTATACACCTGCATATACCGTCCACTACACCACTGCTTGTAACAGTAGCTAAAGCATTTTAGCTGACAAAGATAATGCCAACAAAGTAAGAAAGCTTACACTACTAAACTATTATTTATCAGTATATTTGGTTCTATTTTTAGCTAGTGTAATAACCTTTCACTACCATTTGTCAGTTTTAGGGCTCCATAGATTTGGGTCACAGTAGTCTCACACACAGCACACAATAACACACACATCCAAAACCTGTATGTGTGTGAGAGAAATTGTGTCAGCAAGTAACAGGCTGACTGACCAGGGCACACAGGAGGTCGACAGCTTCCAGGATGAGCTCCTGATGTCCTATTCTGGTGACACCCAGCTCCTCCAGCTCCTGATGGGTGATGTGCAGCAGCTGCTCTCCCCCCATCTGTTCCCGCTCGAAACTCTTCACGTACTGCTGGAGACAGTCATCCAGACCTGAGGAGAGCACAAACAGACAGGTTAGCCAGTGCTGAGGTTTATGTGCCATCGCTGTATATAAGGGGCCTGCTGGTCAGCCGCAGCCAAACAACCGAATATTCTAACAGGCCTCATTTGTATTTTAGAAAGCTCTCTGCCACTGCAGAGATAAAAATATAAAAACAAGTGGGAAATATTGATTAAAGACGGATGGAAATACAAATATGAGCTCCTGCCTGTCACATTGTACACTGAGTCCTGGTCCACATAGCTGCAACACAGAATTCAGGCATGAGTGCAGACACCCACACAGAAACTCAATGCAGAAGTATTCTGCCAAATAGAAACAAAGCAAAACACCAGCCTAAACCCAGAGATTTCAGCAATGCTTTCCTGGTTACTTACTGTCACCTAGAAAACACATTTGTTGGTTTGGTATTCTAATCTAATATCTGATGATGATTGCACACTGTTCTGTAATAAGATTTCCTTTCATGCCACAGATTTTAGCATGCAAACAATTAAGAGCAATGCATTTTTAGTGTTTTCAGAGTTTGCAGAAAAACTGAATGTCATGCACATTCTGAGTGATTAAGCGTGTGTCCAAAATATAGCTGGAGAGATGTGAGTAACATATTGACGTATGACTTTCCGCTGTTAAGCTGTGGCTGCCTGCCATGCAGAGAGCCAATCAACTGCACATAGACGTGGAGGGTCCGGGATACTATTGATCAGTATGAGCCTCAGGCTTTGAACCAAACAAAGTCAGCAGAAAGCACACCTCCCCACAGACCTAATGAACAAGCCTGCTCCAAAATGAGCACACACAGAGCAAAAAACGCATGAGAGGAAGCAAATCCATGCGCACATACACACACATGGAGACACACAAACTGTACACTCTCTGTCTCTCGGTGAACACACACTTCGAACACAATCGCACATACAAATACAATTACAACTGCTGTTGTTATTCAGGGTCTTGACGCCTCTGTGGAGGCATGTTGTTAAAGCCGAGTGGAGCTGTGAGGAAAACACTGATGCCCAAGGGAAGTGATGCTGACAGAGAGCAGACAGTGTGGTAGCACCTTAACACAGTCACCACACACACATTCGCTACAAAGGATGAGCAAGAGGCATCTTGCTCTTGGTATGCCATGGGACCTAACAGACATAATATAAGCCTACTGTTGCTCTGAGTGACACGGACAAACAATCTTGTTATATCCAGCACAGAAGAGCAATTGTAAATCTAACACGTCGGCAAGAGGCTCTGCTCTGTAGCACCACAAGTGGAAATTGTTTAATGGAATACATTCCCTATGGACAAACTCTCATATCCCACGTGTTAGTATACAATAATAGAATGTTATCTCATGCAAGGCTGGTATGGCTTCAAGTTTGCACATGAAACATGAAAACTAAACGTGTTATCAAATAGGCATGTGATTACTTGTTTTTACATGTGCACATGACATTTGATGTTATAATCAATTCAAACTAATTTAGAACATCTAAGCAATTGTTATGAATTTGAAAATTCCTTAAAAATGAAACTGCTCAAATATTATGTGGTTGAATGTAACTAATTACATTTACTCAGTAGGGTTCTGTACCTATGTACAAATGTGAGGTAGCCCACTTCTACCTCAACTTCATGTTTCTTACTTTCTGCTTTCACTACATTGACAAATATAGTTACTAGTTACTTTACACATTTTACACACTGTATGCCTAGGGCATTTCTGCATTGAAAACTTTAATTTTGACACTTAAATGGAGCTGCATACAACATTCAGACCATATCTATGATTCAGAGTCTGGGGCAGGGTTGTCTGCACACGGTTCTCAACATGGAGGTGGCAGAGCCAGCTGCTAGCAACTGTTCTAAATCCATAAACAATGGTGATAACGGCAACAGTACTGACAGAGCTAACATTGTTAACCTGGGGAGTAACCGGTGCATGGGCATTCCATGACGACACCATCGCCATATTAGTGGTAACAGCCGTATGAGTGCAGTGCAAAGTGGTGGCGATTAGCTAGCCAGTGGGATACATACATCAGACTCCAATGCACTAACATGCACCCATGGCCGTACAGTCTATGGACAGAGAAGCTCGGACTGGGGAGCGTGACTTCATTCTCTGCCCAGGACGTCATTACTCCACTATGTCTTTACATAGCAGGTAGTTGTTTGCTGCTATATTAATTTTCTAAATGTTGCACACATAACTTTTAAGTATATTTTGCTGATAATACTTATACCTAACTAACAATTTCACTACAACACTTTTTTTCTCACTTCAATATTTTTACCTCCTACCTTTACCTAAGTAAAGAATCTGGATCTTCTTTTTTTTCCCCCAGTAATTTGTTTTGGTTTTTAGGTGGAGCTAGTTTCACAGTTACGGTGCCTAACCTTGCGACTGGCCCCCATCCAAACAATCACAAGATGAGTCTGAGGGATTGTGAGATGATTAATGGTTACTGAAAAGGAAAAAAAAATACAACTTCTGATACACAAATCTGTATTCACTTCCCAATTTCTCCATTCAGTGTTTTTGTTTTAAGATAATGGATAAATCTATCTCCTCTGAAGTGCAACGACAGGAAATCACAGATATCTGGAATGTGACAAGGAACCCCAAATAGACACTGACTTTTCTGTAAGTGGTTGCAAGCCAAAAACATTGGGAACCACTAGCTTGATCTTTAACAATTTGTTGAACCTTATAAGGTCATCATGTGTTTTTTAATGTAAAAGATGAATCTAAAAAGTAACTATTAACTATAGCTGTAAAATAAATCTAGTATAGTACAGGGCAAGTATCTCATAATTGTACTCAAATACAGAACTTGAGTAAATGCACTTAATTACTCTCCACCAGTGGTAGAGTGGTAGACAATGTTTAATTTTCACATCTCTGTCTCGCAAATGTGAATTTGTGCTCTTTCATGTGGACAGCTAACATGAAAACACGTTTCCTCTGGAAAGGGCTGAAGAAATCTTTTTAAAAGCTGTTGTGCACTCTCATATCCAGTCCGAGGTTTTCTATCTTTATTCAGACAAACCCAAATATAATCTATGATAATTCATTTCAATACAGTGCTGCATGTTTTCTTTTTTTTTTTTTTTTTACAGGAATGTTCTTGGAGACAAATTCTTGACTAAGAGTAAGTGTACTGCTACACTCCAGCATTATATTTAAATTAGCTGTTTTTCTTTCCTCCTGGTGTAAAATGTTTATTACAGTGCGAAAATAGTCTAGTGTAGTCTAATAAATCATCACCAGTGTTGGCAGAGATATGCACAAGTGGACTGAACGTGCAGATTTCTTTAGCTGGCCAGAAGCTACAGTATATAGATACAGAGAGAGCCATGCAGGGAACGTGGAGGCAGAGTGAGAGAAAGCCCTGCAGCTAATGACTCGGACCTCTGAATATATGAATCCTGACCCTCACTATCAGAGAGACATGAGAGGAAATACAAAAAAAAGAGATGGAAATCTCAAATCTCAAAATGGAAATCTTTATGTCCATACCTAGGTGAGATGAGCCTCCCGAAGCAAACCGATACATCCTCCTCATTTCCTCTGCCACTCTCACATTTGTCCTTCCCCGTTTACACCCCAGCCTCCCCTTCTGGAAGCGCTTTTTAATAGCAGTCATGTCGTACAATGTGGCACGTTATGGCTTATGTCATCATAATGCAAATGCAGTGTCTGACTATATTTGCAAAATGATGCCGGTGTAATATCTTCACTGCACATTTAAGATTCTCTGCAGGTGGAAAGAGTGGATGAACTTTTTCACACTTATTATTCTAGTCATCACTTCAGTCCTCTTCCTGGTGTCTCATCATTAATAGTTGCACCTTTTCCCCTCTCTCCACCTACAGTAGTATATAAAGTTTATGAATTATATAAAGAGGTGATGAATAAAGAATCAAAGAGGTCCAGGCCGGCTACCTCTGCTTCCACTGGGAAAGCCCCCTACGATAGTTATGTCCTACTTCTGCAACACACACATAGATGAATAAGGTGCTAAGTTGACAGCAGAGCATCTATTTGCCATCCTCTTGACGGTATGACGGGATATGTCGTTGTTACAAATGTGAATTCTCACTCATGCACATGCACGAGCATAGAACTGCATACAGACACAAGCAGGCATACATTCACACAGCTGCTAGCCAATCAGATAAGTCAGAATGCCTCCCCCAGAGGACAAACAGCTGATCTGGGTTCATCTGCTGAGTTCATATGCCAGCTGGAAATAGCACATGGTGCTCACAAAAACACACACACACAAACTAACCAACACATAGGGGTCAGGTTTGTCAGCACTACACCTCGCCAGACAGTTGATGATATTAAAATGATGTAGATGTGATTAGTCAAGATCTGCACCAAGCAACAACAAATGCTTTTTCTCTGCCGCCAAAGTGCCTTCTCACATATGACTGTTTACTGCGTTCACAGTAACTGCAGGAAATAATAAAACTGACCTCACGCCTAAGTAGGCCATGTAGTGTAATAAGAGTCAAACAAATCCTAGCCTGCGTGCAGCTGAAATAAACAAAAAGTAATTTTGCATGAGTAATGTCAGAAGTGTCTCTGTGTGTAATCAAGTCATAAGCTGCTGCTAGTCTCCCCTGGGAGCTATACTGACTTGGGAATATGATATTTTATTATAGCCTAACCATAGATAGTTGAAATCGTGCTTCTGCCGGCTTCTCATGTGGTGATGGCAGGCCACACTAATGTGTTTCCTGTAAATATTGTTTTTCCTGCTGCGATCCTCTGCTGAACCAGGGCACTGCCTGGGTATCAATCTTTGAAGAGCTCTTCATAACACAAATTTGTCAATTGTCAACAGTCTGTTTTCTTTCCCACAGTCTAAGAGAGTTTTGATAGAGATAATAAGATTACTGAATGCAGCGAACGCTCACGACATCCACAAGTCTGCTGTGACACTTGGATTTGCCAGTATGAGTCAGCTTGGTGCTTTTTCAC